TATTGCGTCCGATGTAGCCTTCCCTTCTGTAAATCCATATTGATTTTCACTTAAAATTTTGAATTTTGTGAGGTATCGGATCATTCTAGTAGATAAAACTTTTTCAAAAACCTTTGCTACACTGGATATTATTGATATTGGTCTATAGTTGTTAACATCTGTTTTTGTTCCTGATTTATGTATCGGTATTATATTACCTTTTTTTAAAATTAAGGGATATATGCCAGATTCAAAGCATTTGTTGATTAGGTAAGTGAGTGGTTCTGTTATGTCCTCGGCTATAATTTTCAAATGCTCGCTTTTAATACCATCGAACCCAGGACTTTTCCGATTTTTTAAGGACATAACAGTGGTGTATACTTCACATTGCTCGACTTTATCCAAAATAAATAAGTTCAAAGGTCTTTTTGGAGGCTGAGTATTTTGTACATTTGCTTGTATATTACTTGCTAAATTTTCGCCTATGTCAGTAAAGAATTGTACAAATTCATCGCATATCTGTTGAGTATTTTTTAATACTGTTCCCGATGTTGTATTTAACTCAGTGACACACTCTTTAACTTTTGTTTTCCCTGTAATCTCATCAATAGTTGTCCAAAGCCGCTTAGGATCATTTAAGTTATTATTCAATTTATTTAGGTAATGTTTTCGTTTGGTTTGCCTTACAAGCTCTATAAATTTATTTTTATATTGGTTGTAGCAGTCGGTATTCTCTCTAGTTGGCGTTAGTTTCATTACATTATATAGTCTTTCTTTTTCTATTGCCGATGTTATTAATCCTTTGGTAATCCAGGCATTTCTGCTTTTCTCTTTGTGACTAATTATTACTTTATTGGTACTAATATCTATTAGTTTTTTTATTTTCTCTATGAACAGTCCCGTTGCTTTGTCTATATTATTTATAGAGTATAATTGTTCCCAGGATTCTTGTTTGACATTTGATATTAGTTTTGAATTGTCGACAAAAAATTTGTAATTTTCCTGGTTGTTACTAACGGTAGGGATGTTAGAATGTTTTTCATTTGAAGATATCAGTAAAATAGTGGAGAAGTGGTCAGTAATATCGCTTTCTAGGATTATTGGTATACAAGTAATTTTGTTGGATAGGTCTTTCACAAAGCAGTGATCTATACATGTGCCACTGATGGACCTTGTAGGTAGGTTTATATAGGACAGAAATCCGTTACTTGATAGGATATTCAAGTATTCATTTGTGATGGGATCATCGTCCAAAATATTTATATTGACATCTCCCAAGAAAATATGTTGCTTTAAATGAACTTTATTTTGATTTTGAAAAAAAAATCGATATTCTTTAAAAACTCGTGAGGTTCTGAACATGGCGGACGATAAATTGCAGATACCTCAATTTTGTTATGGTTAATTTGGATCATTATGTTTAAAATTTTGATTCCATCGGTGAAAGTGAATGTATCATGATTATATTGCAGTTTATTTCTTACAAAAACTATCACCCCATCGTTTTGGTTATAAGTGCCAAAGTTGTACAGCGTGTCATATCCCTGCTGATTGAAGCAAGAAATATCAGCAACTTGCCACGTTTCAGTTAAAACTATTAGATCAAAATTGTACCATATTTGGTCGAGTAGTATTTTTAAGTAATCAATGTTGTGTTTTATACTCCTTATGTTCATATTAAAAATTCGAAATTTTGCATCAGAATTTTATGTACATAAATTAAGTTCATCGATGTTTTGTGCTATATTTGTTGCAATACTTGGAATTTGGAAATCATTAATGTATTTATTTACTGACATTTTTAGGTCCTCTTTAGAGATAGGAGTAGTAAAAGATGAACTTGAATTTTAAAAAAGTATCCTTAGGTTTTGTTGTTCCTGATAATATTTGTACGATGGTCAGTTTTTGTCGGTAGGTGAGTGGTTAATATTATAATTTTTTTTATATCTTTCATTTCCATATCTACAGTTGCAGCATTCTATTGATTCATGCTTACAATTTTCTTCTTCGTGACCGTTGCCACAGTTGGCACATATCTTCTCATTCCTGCAATTCTTTTCTGTATGATTAAAACGGTAGCATTTTCTACACTGAGAAATGTCGTTATTTTGATATACTGTCAAACATTGCCATCCCAGAAGTATTCTTCTATTATTGTCTTCGAAGATTTTTTTGAATAGCTTTCCAGAAGTTTCCGCGTAGATAGTGTAATTGTTTTTTGATGGAAAATATTTGATGAACTTTACTTGTATGTCTCCACTCTGAATCATATAATTCTGATGTATAAGATCTTCTTCAATTTGCTTTTCATTCGGTTTCTCACTACTTTTATAATTTATTATTTTAATTTTTGGATTTAACATTTTCGGCTCAGTAACTTGGTATTTTTCATTCAATTTATTTTGAAGTTCATCTTTCAGTTTATTATGGTTTGATTCATCAATTTTTATATCAATTCCGCCATTTTTTGAGTTTCTCACACTTTCTATTTGAATGTTCAGAGATGAAAGATTTATTCTCTTACTCAATTCTCTTCTCGTATTATCGCAAGATTGTTTTTCTTTTGGAATAACTGTGATGCATTTCAGTGATTGCCTTTTAGTAATAGGTGTCGTTTGTTTTAAGATTTGTGCGTATGAATTTTCTTTTACTAATTGGTTTTTCTCAACTTCGTCGAGTCTCATATTAATTCTATTTAATGCTGATGCTATGGCATCCTTCTCAGTAATACTTGCGGTTATTGACAGTTGCTGCTCTTTTAGTTTTCAATTTTCGTTATTGAGCTGACGAATTATTTCCTCCTTTTCTGCTAGTGTTTTCTTCAGGGATCGATTCTCTTCTAACATCTTTTTTACGTTAGTCGAATCAGGTCGATTTTCTTCATCTGTGATGCAGTTTTTTTCATTCTCGGGCTTTTCTTGTTGTTCTTCTTCTTCCTTCTTCTTTTTGCGGCTCATGACACTCTGTATAGTAATTTCTTATGTAGTATGGATCAGGAAGAACAAACTGTCAACTTGTCAATTTTACGTCACTCCGAGGTTATATAAATATGGCCGAAAACGATTGAAAACTGTAAAATCCGCTGCACCAATGTATCCAGACCCGTACTTTATCCTTATAAATGGAAACTCTTCGCCAAAAGGTTATTTCATGGACTGTGTACCAACCAAATTGTTGACAAGGTAGGACGAGATCGTTTGCTTGTTTACTACTACTACTAATTATTGAAATAGATTGTTTACATCAATTACCCCAGAGTACTGCTCACATGTTTGGGGCGTTGACACCCCGACTACATTATCCATGATCGATGCTGTTCAGAGGAGGGCTGCCCGGCTTGTCTATGGCCCTACTCTAACGGACAGTCTCGGGCCCTTTTGCACCAGCGGACCGTCGGCGTTTCTAGCTCTCTTCTACCGCTACGACAACGGGCTTTGCCGCCGCGCGATGTGCCTGCCAGACAGACCCGCCTGACTTCAGCCTCCCATCCTAACCGTGTCGAACTTCATACATCGAGAAAGTGGCCGATACGACCGCTCCTTTGTCCCTAAGATATCGAGATAGTGGAACAATCTACATGAGGAGGCTTTTCCCAGTTCTACAAACCTTGGGGATTAACAAAGTTTCTTTTAGATCCTCCTAGCAGCCGCGGCTTCTGCCTGCGCCGTTCTTCGGTGTAAAAAAAAGGTTTTCAAGACTGATGTTTTTTATCCTCGTTTATTTGCTCGTGCTTTGGGAAAAATATTTGAATTTCGTAAAATGGGTTTGATTTTTTATTTCAAAGATCGATAGACGAAATATTTTATTCCAAAACTGTTAACGTCACAGAATGGAGGTTACTTTCCTCACAACTGGCGGAAGGATAGGAGCTTAACCCTGAACACTCAGAATTAACTTATTGGAGACAGAATATTGACATTTCTTAAAAAAAAGGCAACCCATAAGCAATGACAAATCTGATATTCATCATGTAAAGATGTAAACCCAACCTCTGTAACTATTTATAAATACCAATAGGGTCATAATTTTATTTTGTCTAACTCTGGAAATACCTAGTTCTTACATCATTCACAACAATTTCATCTGGACTATCCTAATACATAGGAAATAATTTGAATATTTTTGTTGTTGAAAATAATTAAGCATAACAAATCAAGAGGCAAAATGTTTACTATTTACCACTCATTCAATTTAAAAGCAATTAGAGTAGGTACAATACTATCAATGTTAAACCGTTAAATCCGCATTAAGAATTTGTTGTTGTTTACACTATTGACCCTGAAATTATGACTGTTTTGAAAAACACAGTTTTCTACTATTTCAAAGAATAATTGGTATGATTGTCGGTGAGTAGATAGAAAATGACCATGTATTTTATTCCAAAACTGTCAAGGTCAGATAATGGAGGTTATTTTCCTCACATCTGACGGCCGTATAGAAGCGTAACCTCCAATAACAATTTATAAATACCATTAGGGCCATAATTTTATCATATCTTTTCCTGGAAATACCTAGTTCTTACATCAAACACAACAATTTAATCTGGACTATCCTAATATATACGAAATGTTTTCAATATTTTTGTTGTTGAAAATAATTAACCATCAAGAGACACATCGTTTACTATTTACCACTGATCAAATTTAAAAGCAATTAGCGTAGGTACAATACTATCAATATTAAATCGTTAAATCCGCATACAGAATGTGATGTTGTATACAGTATTGACGCTAGAATTATGGCTGTTTTCAATGGAAGATTATCTACGATTTCAAAAAATTATTGGTATGACAGGTGGCGAATACCAAAAATACGTTAAATATAGAATATTAGTATTCGTTTATTATTGCGAAACGGAAAATATATCAAAAAATAATATGTAATAGGCTTGGTATGGTAACATACATACTTCAAAAAAATAAACTTCATCAACTACATCATCATTGTTCTCGATAACAAGACACATGAACATATAGGATATTTCTCATAATTAGAATTATGTAAAACTTATCAAAACTTACCTTGACCACCAGCCTCTTTTCCCTGTTCTTCTTCCTTATCACTATTGGCTGGGAACAACTGGATGTTGCAAAATCTTTTTCTAAACGGCGCTAAATTCTCTATAATATTGTCGTACGGAATACTGCTACAACTCAGAGTTCTCAGCTTCTTATCATGCTTCTGTTCATCATTTTCCATTACCTTCATGAACGTGTACCTAATAAATAATTATATGTACTTTCTCGGATAACTAGTTTCAAATGTAATTATTGAAAACTAACGCGCTTATGTAAGCCAAGGGTAAAATATGTTAAAGGACTAGGGTGGTTGAAGTGATGTATGAATCTAGCACTGTACTTATTGTACTCAAGCCTTTAGAGATAAAACCAATGAACGACGGCGAGCCTTAAAACTTTGTCTCCCAAGAATAACTCGGGGAGTGACTCTTCTATAGTTCTTCAGGAAAATAGTTCCTTGAAAAGCAAGAAAATCACGGCCACCTTGTCGCAGTTATTCAGGACCCTCATTTCAAGAATTAACCCCTGGAATCTATGGAAAAACGAGAGAAATATAAATAGCATAATTTCAGTTGAAGATTCTTTTCTGTTATTCACTTTATCTCGATGCTGTTCAGATGACTATTCTCTAAGGAACAGTTTCGAGAACCTTCCGCACCGACGGCGATCTCTCATCTACGGCCAGATAGATCCGCCTGACGTCGGCATCCCATCCTAACCGTGTCGAACTTCGTATATCCAGAACTGGCCGATACGACCGCTCCTTTGACCCTAGGGTATCGAGATTGTGGAAAAGTTTACCTAAGAAGGCTTTTCGCAATTTTAATAACCTTAGGCATTTCAAAAATCGGTTTAACAAAGTGTCTTCAAACCACGGCTGCATCGATAAAAAAAATCAGGGCATCTGTGTGAATTTTATTTACCTATTGAGACTGGCGGTGGTAGTGACGACCTTGGTGGATTCTGTATCGGTGGTGACTGTTCGTGTTTTGGTCGTGACTTCTCTGGGTGGTGTCTTCCCAGATGACTTTGTTTTTGTAGCGTTCTCCGGACACCCTGTATTCTCGTGTTCTCCACTACTCACCGGTTTTACCTTGTCTTTCTTTCCCTTTTTCTTGCTGCCATTTGCTTTTGGCCTAATCTGTAAACAAACAAGACTATGATAAAAACATGACCAGTATGGCAACAGACAGAAAAAGAAAATATTTTACATAAAACGTAGTTACCGGAGTACCGTGACCGTTATAAAAACAACAAATCAGGAATAGCAGCCCCGCATGCATGGCAATCATTTGGGAGTTCGTCAGAAATACATCAGTCTATCCAGCGAAATTAACGAGGAACGGCACCATAGTGGTAATTTTATTTTAATCAAATATCAGTATCACAGCTCCACAAGAAAAATAAAAGTTGAGATCCGTGAGACAGACCATGAGATGCATATGTGTTTTTCGACGCTGAATGCGGGATCAGAAAAGTTCCTAGATGTCTAAAATTCACCCAAGCGCCGGAGGAGGCGTGAAAATTGAGCTTTGGATGACAGTTGCTGGAGCATGGTATTAGTATGTAGGTATGTTCAACGCTAAATCGGAATTTGAGGTAAAAAAATTCCACCTCCCTTGAATTCACCCTCAATGTCAAAGCTACTTGTAATGAGGGGTGAAAATTGAGTTTCTAGTAATGGGTGCTAAATCGTTGTATTGTTAGAGGCGTGTTTCGGCAGTTTGATCCATTTTTTCGTGATGAACCCTAGAGATCGATGGTCCCGACAAATAAAACTAGGGTTGGGCCATAAATATGTGAAATACCGTATATATGTCTCAAAACCGAATTGTTTTAAAAGATGCAAACTCATTCTTGTAGGTACGCTAGCGTACGCCTAGATCGAGTTCGCAGCGCAATATCTGATATCCAAAAATCAATTTTCTACACTTTTTTAGGAGTTGTTTGTGGTCTCGGGGGTAAATTTCAGGGGTGTACAAATTTTGGATACAGCGTCGAAAAATACATAGTACATGCTTCGGCATCTGGCATCCAAATCTCAATTTTCATCCCTCTTTTGGGGACAGGCAGGGGTATTATGTAAAAAACCTCAAAAACGTCAAAAAAATCCACGAAATATCTTCCAGACTAGTGTGCAAATAATTCATTCCACGTTTGCTCGCTATGATCGCTGTTCGCTGACGTTTAAGCAATACGTACAGCTACAAAACGAGTTCACAAGAAGTATACAATAGCTTGTGCTAAGTTAACATCTTGTAGAAAACCCGTCATGTCACAAAAAACCAACGAAATGTCAAAAAAAAATCGGCAAAATGTCACTTTTCAAGATACGTAATACCGAAGCTCAATTTTTACAGCTCCGACGGGTAGCTTTTGGCCCCAGAGATGAATTCTAGAAGTCTAGGAACTTTTATCATCCCAGATTTGGATTCATTATCGAAAAATAAAGTTATTTCGTGGTCTGTCTGACGGATCTCGACCTTTACTTTTTTTGTGCGGTTATATATTTTGTCTTCAAAACGTATGTTCCAAGTGTTTTAGATTTTTTTTATGAATGCCTTCCAGTCTTCAAATGAAAATTTCGCGCCAAAGCGTGACGTATTAAGTTGAATGTGGCTCTACTTCTGCCATAAACGTTAGGATTACCTCAGCGGTGACGAGAATAACATTTATTCTCTGACAATGATAGGTTGAGATGAAATGGTTGCGTTCTATTCGTATGAAGAGGTCTTTTTGAATGTATGAATTTTAAATGAGTTTTTCCAACAAACGAGCTCAAAAATTAGGATAAATTGCATCATCCTTGAAGATATATGTAAACAATCTAAATCGTTAAAAAGTATGTATTTGTGAATACAGCGTAAAAAATATAGCTCACTGACTATTTGCCAATAAAAAATATTTTGAGAGATGTCGAACTCCTATTTCATGCTCGGTAATTCTAATTCCAAAAAGCTTAATCCTAGGCTTCCTCAAAACTAGCTGACAGAGCGATAAAATTAAACCGCCTGCTAGTCAGATTACTGTGTCAATAAATTTTCAATAACCATATTGAACACGAGACTAATGATTGATATCGGTGTAATTCAGATAAATTATGCCCGATAAACCAAAATCAAAACAAAAAAAATCACAATTCCGCAGTTCGTCATATTTGATTGGGAAATCCTGATACCAGAATCTGTACCAGCTTGTAATGACTTTACGAATCAGCGGTTTTCCGCATGCATATTCGCGATTCGCTTATCGAATTAACGAAAAAAAAGCCGTCGTCTGATAAAAGTCAAGGTTACTACGTTCTAAAATAAAACCGGTGCAGCATGGAAAGCGATGAAAGGTCGACTATTTTCGAACAACAACTACTCGCCAATATTTCGATCAATCCGGATAATACCTGGTACGCGTCAGAATACAACAACAATGGTTTAAATCCTGGGAATCACGAAAGCGATTATCGGAAAATGACTATTTGGATTCGAACCAGAAATCTGATTTGTAAACTAGTAGAAAATGTACTAAAATAGGAACACATTAAATATTAGTGATTTATTGCGAACGAATGAATTGAACATTCGCGCCAACTAACGCTGTTATGAATAAACCATCCGTGATAGGCCATTTTGTTCCTAATCTGGAAATCCAAATATACAGAATACTTTGGGAAAATGAACATTTTGCGGTTTGAGATATCCAGTATAAATGATCCAAGGAAGACTGATCTAAATTGAAAACAAGAGGATTATTTGACACTAATAGCACTTTTTACTAGTATGCATTTAATGCCCCCTTGGACATCAAAGCCTGCATTTTTTTCTCGAGAAATGTATATTGGAGTAAAAATTACCTTGTTAAACTTGAATTGTATTGTGAGAAAGGTCCCCCTAAACGTATCCCACCCCCGCTCTTCAATTTTCATAATGCCAGTTGCTCTCAAAAGCGCGGCTTAAGTACTTAAGCATACACTTGTATGGACCCGTTAACAAATAAAACGTGCTACTGGGCTAACACCAATGCTCAAGGGTAGCATCAAACGCTTTTGCATTTACCTAAAGTCACAGTGTGGTGTGCAATTTCCTCAGCGAAATGAAGTCACTGTAACAGTGAATTCACAGCTAAATGAGTTGGAACATTTGGTTCCAACAAGATGGTGCAACAGCACACACTTCCAAGAGCACCAATGGCTATTTTGAGGGAACACTTCCCAGATCGCCTCGTCTCAATTAGGGCCGTTTTAGAGTGGTCGGCCTGCTCTCCCGATTGGCCCTCTATATTTTTTTTCTATGGGGTTTTTTGAAATCCTGTGTTTATTGTTAACCATCTAAGGACCCTACATATTTGACGACCAACATCTAGGAAGAGATTGTCAACATACCGCCTGCTATACTGACAAGTCATAAAAAACGCCAGAAATATGTTTACTCAGTATTTGGAGAATGGGGGACTGATTTAATCTTCAAAACTATGTAAAAGAGACTCTAGGTATGCGCCTAAAATGAAAAATCGCGTCAAGTAAGTTGACTCTGTAGTTCCCACGCTACGCTATCATCAGTTAGTGAGGGATTACGTTTGGCACAACTTAGCCCTTCTGAGAAAAAAACTTAGCTACGAACAAGTATAACAAAAAATTAAATGACCTTCTCCTGAGAAAAATTCCTGCAGACGCACATGATCTTTGCGATGCCCAATTTCGCGTGATGACCATGCACCAAGAACACATCCCACAGCAGTACGGAAGCGATTGTCAACTATGACGTATGACGCTCGTCCATCGGGGGACCACGTCGCACGCATTGACACGCGACTGTTGGAGAAATTCAATTTTTAAGGGTAATAGATAATAAGTGAAACATGCCTAATAGGTGCATAGAATTACTGCGGTCGGAAGCTTATAAATCTACTTATAAATATGTTTCCGAAAATGAACAGGAGCCATCAAAAAACAAAGTTTGAGCGTTTTTTATCCCTTTCGTTATTTGCCCCTCGCTCCGCCGCCAATAGACCGCTTTTCAAAAACTAGCTTTTTCGTCCTTGCAATAATAGAAACATTGTGTGAAAATTCCATCAAAATCCGCACGGTACTTTCCAAGTTATAGAGGGGTCAAGGATCAGCGGACAGACCGACGGAAATGAGTGTCATAGTTTTTCGCGACCTACATGTCATGACATCTCAATAGCGAAATTTTTCGCGGTAGTAAAAACGAATAAGCATCGGGTTCATACAATGTGTTTTATTAAGTTTTGAAAAAAGAAAGTTATGCCGCCGCACCCTGTACAATGTAGTTGTTTAATCTACCTACCTTAGTCTTTGCTTGCTTTGGAGCTGCAACAGCGGGCGCTCTGAAAACCTCATCGTTTGTTTTTGCATCGATTTCGGTGTCAGCGCTGACGGTTAAGTAGCCCTTAAGGTGCTCGCCTACATCGTTTGGCGCCGATTGATCGATGAACTCGATGTTGTCGACACCGTCGAATGATGGCGTTGTCGACTTTTCTATGGGGAGTGCTGATGACTTTTTCGCTGTGTCGGAGGTAGCAGGCACCGAGTCCTGAAAAAACGTAAAACTTTTGTAAATCAGGTATGCTGGAGACAAAAATGCGTTAGTCGGGCAAGAGAGGTTACAAATTTGAACAAGGAGAGATACTGCATGGTGAAGGGTGTTTAGCACTAGGGTTGGAAACCGAACCTCGCGCAACCTAAAAATCAACGTTCTCATTTGTTTTTTATTTACTTATGATAACTGATTCTGAAAAGCTTGATGAGTTTCGGAAAACTGTTATTGTGACTGTGATAAAAGAAACCTAAGAAGGAATACAAAAAATAGATTTCAAAAAAATTCTTGAACCGGACAGACGACTGTAATGAATAGAACTTGGTGAAAGTCAAAAATATATATTTATCGAAAACTCGAAACAGGCAATATTTTTACTGCTTTATCTAGTTGCAATAAAGTAGCCAGCAACATACATCAATATTTTCAACATGGCCCAGCTATATTGCTACACATTGTGATTTTCCACCTATTTTTATATATTGCTGTCAGATTACCCAACTACCGAAATATAAAATATACATAATGTAATTTTTCTTGTCGCCTATAATTTCGTCAGTCACTCTTGCCTGATTTTGTAGCTCTTCCGATAAGCAATTCTTGAAGTGTATGTGTCTACACATTGCAGACAATATTGCCCCGATATAGTCGAGGTAAAGGTGATACAACCGAGATATATAGCCGGCCATATGCTGAAATATGTTCATGATTGATGCCACAGTTATAGCCAAATATTGCAACAAATATATAGCCTGTTTAGAAGCTTTCTTAGAGCCATCTGCAGCTGAAACCAATGCAATAAATCTCAAAATGTATACTATTTTTGTACAAGTGCGCATTTCATAAATCGACCAATTTAGTAATTAATTACTCTCCTGATAGATTAAAAAGTTTTCTAAAAAATGAAAGTATGTCCCAAGTGTAGCATGAGACTTATGAACAACCAATAATACTTACAAATTAAGCAAATTGTGCACATCACAAATCAACACGACCTTTTCAAATATTACACGTTTTATTTAACACGATTTTTTCGACTATTACACGTTTTATTTTAAACTTCGAATTATACACCGGTGTTGGAATATGCGCCAATCGTTGATTTCTATAAATAAACTAAAATATTACGAAAACGAAATATTAAATCCATTCAGCTCGGCTGTTATCAAATCCGTCGCAGGCGAATGTAATAAAGCTACCACTAGACTGCGCGAGCATTTACGGAAATACGATCTACCATTTTGTCGTCGGTCTTTTGATTTTTTATGTTGGTCAATAGGCTGTCAGGTTTAGTTGCCCGAAGTCTGGTTTTGATTTTGAGAACCCTCCGTTGGTCCGAGCTTACCTTAGTTTTTTCTATTGTGTTCTAAAAATGAATAACATCAATTTTAAGCATTGGTCTATTATCAGGTTTTGCTTCAGCCTTAGGCCCAGTGAAACGGAAACTCTTGCTAAACCGGCCTACGGGGATAGTGTGTTTTTTCGGTGGTTTAAAGCATTATTAGAAGGGAGAGAGTCAAATGTAGATGAACCACGAAGTGGCCTTTATCTTCAAGAACCGATGAAAATATAGACAGCGTCTGGGATCTTGTGCGTTCAGATCGTCGGTTGACAGTCAGAATGATCGGTAAAGAGTTAAATTTGACTAAAACCACCGTTCATCAGATCAAGAACTCGGTATTGTATCACAATAATGCTCCTTCTCACACAGCAATGTCAGTAAACGAGTTTTTGGCCAGTAAAACATTCCTGTGGATCCTCAACGTCCTTACTCGCCGGATTTGAGTTCTTGTAACTTTTTTCTCTTCCTTAAGTTGAAAAATCACCTCAAGTGGACTCATTTTGGGACAGTCGAAAACATTCAATTGGCTGTAACCAACCAGCTGAACGATAGTCCAGTAGTTCCAGAACTGCTATAAGGAGTGGAAGAACCGTCTTCAGCGCTGTGTGGTTTCAGAAGGAAGTTATTTGTAGTAAGACAATATAAAATTGTAATTATATTTGAATAAACAAAAAAAACATCGGTCTCAACACTTAATTCATAGACGTACTAATGATTGTTTTTTTTTTGGAAAGACATGATGGTGTATGACTTTAGCTATGATTCGGGAAGTGCAGGTTTTTCAATCATCAGGGTAAACATCAATGACTGAAATAGTGATTTCCATCGAAAAATTCAATTTACCTTAGCTGCCTTCCCCTTCTCGGTCTTCGCCCCAGCGGTCCCTTTCTGCGGGGAAGAGGAGCTGCCCTTATGCAGAGACGGCTGCGTGGACTCGGCTGCCTCCTCCCCTAATTCGCACGAGGCCGCCCTGGAGGCGGACGGCCCCCTTTTGACACCCTTCTCCCCGCCGCCACTGGCTGCCTTCGACGACTGCCTGCCTAGCGGTTTGCCCCAGGCATGGCCCCCACCGCCTAGGCCACGGAATGTGCCGCCACCGCCACCCCCCTTGTCTCCGCCAGACTCGCTGCCCTTACGTGGAATGGTAGGACTGTTCAGACTGGAAAAGAAAATATGTAATTAGTAAGGTGCAAAGAATCTATAAAGGTCTGATTTTCTCAAACGTGCGAGAACTCGCAAGCTCACGATAGGTGGGAACCCCACTCACGTAAAGAAGGGTGTGTATTTATTAGGTCTACCAGAAAATTGTCCGTCTCTAAGTTAGAACTAGTGGTGGCAGATATTCCACGAAGTATGATTTCTGATAACTGGTATTTCTAAATCACGAATAGCGATTGTTACCAAATTTCGTAAAAGTGTGATAATTACTTCAGGAGCTAGGTGCTTGATGGGAATGGAGAATGGCATCATGGTATCATGGCGTCAGTGTTGCCAAACAGAAAAAGAAGAAATCGGTAGATGTATTGTTAAAATTCGGTAGATTCAATGACTAAATCGGTAGGAGGAAGAAAACTGGGCCATCGCAAGACAAACAACATGTTTTTTGATGGCATCTTTTATTAAAAAAAATATCAACTTCATTAGATCTTTCATACTGGTCGTTCTTCAAACTCCTTTGCAACCATACTGGAAACTCCTTTTCCCATTCTTCGGGTAATTTTGGATACTGATTTAGAATATGACCAGTAAAAAAAGAGAAAGTCCTATTTGGAGTAGAAAAATCTCAATATCCTCAAGTAAATTAAAAATATGAGAATGTAATAATACTTAGTAGTAGATATCAATATTTAAAAGTATTTCCAGAAATCAGGTAAACTACTTATCATCAAAACTGAAATAGCAGTTACATAAACTTACGTTCCGGTATCAAGTTTCGGGCAAGATTGTCCCGTGTTTCTATTTTTCTGTGGATGGCAAGCCTGACACCGACTTCCCCTCAAGGTTGGCAATCCATAAGACTTCTTCGAACCAGCATTACCAAGGTAGCTTGAAATTTTCTTGATATCCTCTAATTCCAGTATGAAGGCTATATATTTCCCTAGTTTATCAAAATAATCTATCTATCTTGCTAACAAACTTCAAACTGCACCAATCTTTTAAATGTGCTGCTACTTAACCTATAATACTTCTTAACTACTTATCACAATGTTTTCCACTTACAGAACACCACTCTAACAACTTTTTAAGGTACAAAAATCTGAAACAAAAAACAGAATTAATACTATTTGAACCAGGTATATTTGAAATATGAATTTTTGGTAAGTGTTGCATATAGGAAAAATTGCTCAATATTAGCGTTTTACCAGCTTAGGGGGTACATTAGGCATGTTCCAACAATGCATCCCTAATGGTTGCAGACAGATCAAAACAGATAACCACCATTTAGTTTGGGGCACAGAATCAATTGACACTTTTTGACAATTCATTTGGTCAACTTATTTTAACGGTTGTAAACCATTTGAAAAACAAATTTGCAATGACATTACAACACTAAAAATGCTAGACAATCCTAAGCAACTTTATAAGCACTGCAAAAATTAGACAGAAGTGAATTTTGTTAAAACAAGGTTAAGACACAAACAGCCTACTACATTTTTCCTTATGTAATACCATATTACCTTTTGTGAAATATACCACCCCCCCCCTCCTTTTCAATTTTCATTTAGTGACATAGCTATTAATTTTGTTCCATGTGTATACACATACAGTAGGCTTTACTGTAGCCACATGATTCTAGCAAAAATACAGGAGATTTGATTCACACTGGTGGTAGTATACTTATAATTTGTAATTAGACCTTCAGCTAATCTGGGTCATGTACTTACTGGATGCTTTGTTGTAAATGCAAAATCCAGGGCATAATATATTCCAATAGGCCTATTACCTCAATAGTCAATAAATACCATAGCCAAATATGAACAGTAAAATGGGTTCATATAGCTTTTTAATAGTCATAAGGCAATGAACTGTGGTTATTCCTTGATTATTCTGTTATTTGCCCTTCTTACAGATCTGAGAAACAGGGTTGCTACATATGATTCAAATATAAAATAATAATTGTCTGTGATATTAAAAACATGCCCAATTACTTGTTCTAATAAAAAACAATGGATGGTTCCATAAAAGCTCAGTAGTTCTACATCCTGTGTCAGCTGATATCGTTTTATTTTCATATTGACTGATAAATGTTTGCATAAACTGTTAAGTTACAAACAACACATATCAAACACAAAAGAAGAATACATAAGGGTTATGTTATATTCATGGATTGACATTTGACATACAATAATTGCATAGAAACCACCACCTGAACAAGGTTGTCATCAACAGTAATGACACACAAAGGGCCAGTTCATGATATCATTTGACAACTGTTACAAACTGTCAAATAATCTGTGGTGTCCTCAAAATAGAAAAGTCAAAACCAAACATGACCAGCATGGGTATTAGGTGTCTTGAAAGGTGACATTTCATCATTTTTTTTTATATTTCGTAGGTTTTTAGTGACATAACTATGTTTTTCTACAAGATATTAACTTGTCACTAGCTGTTGTACACTTGTTGTAAACTCGTTTTGAAGCTGTATGTGTTGCTTAAATATCAGTCAACAGTGATCATAGCTGGCAAAAATGTGGAATGAACTATTTGCACACTAAAAACAAAAACTACTTAGTCTGCAAGATAACATTTCGTCGGTTTTTTTCGACGTGGTTATGATTGCTGGATCACTCAATATTGCTTATGGTCATAACCACAGGCCTAAGCATGGGTATGTAAGATGAGTTTTTATTTAGTGTTTTTTTTCATACATATTTCTTATGAATGCATTTATACAGCTTGTTATAATCAATTAATCATACTCATAAGCATTAACAAGGTTGACTTTGAAGTTCATAAGGTCTACTCTTATGATTATGCAAATGTTGTATAAAGCAGCCTCAAAAACGTTAACCCTTTCAAACAAGAATGCCGTTTGGTAACGCCACTGATCATGAATGTCAAAATGAAAAAATCTCTGAAATTCCGTACCGAAATCTAAGGATATATTAAGCGTATATGTTTGATCGATAAGCTTCCTGCAGATGAATGTCTGGAAGAAATAGCGAGAACTGTAGACACATTGCCTGCACATATTTATAAACTCTACTAAAAACGTACAACGCAGTCTGCTTTTCTCTCGTTAATCTACTTCATGCAAAAGGTATTTAAGATACAATACACATATATTTGCTTAGAGTCCTTTGGCGAAGATTTTTGAGTATGTGATATTCAGAAATTTTAGTTCATATTGGTGAAAAACTTACATTTTTGAGGAAAAATGACACCACCCCGATACAGACTTATGCCGTTTAAAATTCTCATCTGCAGAGGGCGCTAATGACGACGTGTCATTGCCGCCAACAGAAAAACAAAAAATTACTAGACCTGGAAAAATAGGGATGAGAAAAATGGTTGCCTTCCTCCTTAATTCACATAATAGTTACAACGGAAAACGGTCAAAAATGACTATCGCGGTGTGCTTGCTGATAACCACGAAAGATGTTAGATTATTCTAAGACGAAACATCAAAAGATCACTCACTAAGCAAGGAATAAGGAATGGCAGTGATGTTCGATTCTGCTCCCGCAAGAACACGCTTGTGTGCAGGGCTGCAGGGCCAAGCATGAAAAAATGCGCTTCCCCCCCAAACATTAATTGAGAGCAAGATCGGATCCGGACCTTGAGTACGGGTGGTGTCGATTCGTCCCAGGGTGAAATCATGACCCGCACAGGTATTATGTAAAAAACCTATAAAACGTAAAAAAAAGTATAAAATGTCATCTTGCAGACTATTATAGGTAGTGTTTAGGGTGCAAATAGTAATTCCACGTTTGCTCACTAGGACTGTTGGTTGCATATGTTTTGTGAAGCCGAGTAATCTGTAATTTTTATCTCTGAAAAGAAAGTTGGTTGAATAGAAAGATCGCATCTGGATGATGTGTGTATTGGTTTGCATGTGTATAAAGTCAGTGATATTTGCTTTGTGAGAAAATCATTACTGAATATGATGCCAATGAATTACATCTATTAGTTGTGCCCGACGAGTTATTGGCATGTTGTCCTTACGAAAAACTTTTAGGAGAATTACGGGAAGTAGTGTAGTTACTGTTAGCATGTATATGACTTGTAATTCGACAGTGTACATTGAATATAATTATTTCTTATCTCTCTCATTTTTGAAATTCAACAAATTTGCATATGTAAGTAGTAAGTAAGTGTATTTGAGACAAGAATCCAATAAAATTATCATATCATATCGTAATGCTATCTCTGAAGCAGATTTTACATCACATCAGAGCCAAAAATTGATAACTGAAGCCTCATGACGTTTAGACAACACATACAACTACAAAACAAGTTCACAACGTGTCCATCAGCTAGTGCTAAGTTAACATGTTATAGAAAAAACTACATGTCACAAAAAACCAATATGTAAAAAAAATCGTAATGTCACTTTTCAAGATACGTAATACCCGTGCCGCCCTGGATCCGTTCTTAATTGCGAATTTTGTGCCCTCCATTAGGCGGCTGTCTCGCTTACTTACCGCCTATAGTCGGCCCTGCTATGGTCAAAGCAGTCAAACCTACATGAGATAGTGGTGTGTAGTTCGCGAACCAACTGGTTCAATCGTACAATTCTAATGATTGATCTAAGTGAACTTGTTCATCATTCCTTGAAAAACTCGTTCACTATGAACGACTGATACTACAGGTTCCCGATGATACAATCAAAGTAGTCGTGAGTTGATGAACGAGATAGGATTCGGGACACAACCGTAAAAAAAGGTTGTATAATTGGTTGCCTGGAAGTTATGAAAAAGATGATAAATGCCCGCTGTTAGTTAAAGAAGTCGAAAAAATAAAAAAAAAATAACTTAAAGGATCACCTAATTGGGAGTCATGATGAAATTAAAACAATAGTAAAATGAAAATGTAAATTAAGTACAAATTTCCATTAAAAAACATTAATGTTTTAACTTTATCGGGTTCTAGTCTATTTCTGCGTCCAAGACTGTTTGTGCAGCCCTCAAAGAAGCCGCTCGCATGTCACAGATGGCAGATATTTATCTCGTTCGAGAATGCCTGTTGCGACTATATTTTAAGCTGCGAAAAAATATTTTACCCTTTCATCTTCTTCAGTTTATTATCCGCTTGGCTTTTGTCTGCGATGCCGAAAAAAACCGTTCTTGCTAGGTTTGTATTATCAAATCAAAAAACTAAAGTGTACATTATTTGAGAGTATTAGAAAACGTGTATACTACTACTACGTGGGCGACAGTTTACGTGGACTATTTAGATTTGAAACATCCATCTTAACAAACAAGAAAATAAAATACAAAAAAGTGTATTTCGAACCGGTTACCCATCAAAATACTAACTGCGCTGCTTAACTCCGGCGATCAGATGAAAGATTGAGAGGCAACAAACTTTCACTAACATTATTCTTGTGTAAAATAGTTCGTTCGAGAACACAAACAACCCGACTGCGGTATCTGAAAAAGGTGATTTAATTCTGCTATCAAGCCGAATCTAGAACATCTCAAATGCCAAGATCCATCCAGATCTTTGGGCTCTAGCCCATAAAATAGATAATTCAAGGTTGGCTTTTTTATATTAAAATCTGCCATTTCATTTTTATATTTTATAAACAGTATAACTATAGCATTGTCGAGACAAATCCATCAAGCCGTTAAGTAATAGCCCCCAGGGTTGATTTTTTTTAATCCGTTATTTTAATTTTATAAAATATAGTATATCCAGTGTCACACCTACTGTCAAGTATAGAGACAACTCGTATGTCATCCAAACCCAAGCCATTTACGGTGTTAGCCCATAGAATAAGTAATTTGAAAGTAAAGCAACAGATTTTATAAAATGTTAGTATACCCAGTGTCTCTAGCACCTAGGTCCCATGAGAGGAGCAATATTTTCCCCGTTAAATAATCACTCAGAAGTTATTGTCACATCACTATTTAATGAATATTATCAATTTCCGCCACAAACACCAACCTCTAGAATTAAAAATACCAAACAATTCAAATATGACATGTGGATCATTGACACCCACGTGACTAGTGATCTTTTCGTTGATTAGTTATTCTAATATGCAGTGGCGTTCCGGAGGACCCCAACTTGCTGCATTGGCGGCGGAATTAAGCATATAATTTGAAAACGTACCATTCCTCTCTACTTGTATTTTTTTCACTGCGATTAAACGCTTATGCTGACAGAAGAGCGAGTAAAAAATAAAACAGTTTGAGATACATTTTATTTAAAAACCAAATAAATATTAATAATATTATGTTCTTTATAATTAGTTATGAATATGTGAATATAAAATAAGATTTAAAACAGTGACATAAAAAATTGTAAAGCGTTACACAGATAAAAGACATCTTAAAACAGTACAATATAAAAGTGGAGAAAACCCCATGTAAAATCTATGATAAAATCAGTAAAATTCATCTTCCTATCTTTTTTCCAATTGCCATAGGAGGTATATCTAAAAATTTTCTAGCATTTCTATTAGCCCAGTCTACAAATACATCTCCTAAGACTGCAGCACATTCAATCAACATCTGTACATCTGCTTCAGCATGATGATGGTTTTCTGGAACTTTATTGGTTAGGCTTTTGTATACATCATTCAATTTGAAGCTTTCACTAAAACAAAACAAAAAAATGTTTAAACTGTTATTCAGCTGTACTGATCCAAGAACCAATACAAGGCTATAAAATATCTTCCAGTAAACATATGTTTTCTCACTTTTGACTATGAGGTGTACAGTAAGGCATCTTCAATACTAATAATTAGCTTCAAACTTACTGGATCTCAATACAATGCAAACACTTAAATGAATTAGGTTGTTGAAATCCGAATAACCAATAAAACTTATAATCACATAGCAGACTCTAGAATAGAAACATATTTCTTTTACATGAATTATATTTACCCAAAGTTGAGTTGCTTTCTGCTACTCAAGACTTTCAACTTCTTCAGAGGGGGAGCATCTCTGATTATTTGCTTCTGTGGTGTGGTTTCATTAGTCCTCTGTGCTTTAGCCACCTTGGGTGGAATAGTTTTTTCCATTTCCTCTGTTATACTTATTAACAGAGAGTCAGTTAAATCAAAAGGTATTCCATTTGTAGTGTTGGAACTGTTGGCCTCAGATTTTAAGGTTTCAGATCCTGCTTTGCTATGTAAATATATAAAATCAGAATTTTGAAGTTGGTATTAAATATTAGTTTATGAAATATCCCACTACATGTTCCTACCAGATAATTTTTTATGTGACCAAGTCCTTAAATGACAATGAACTGTAGATAGAATTTATACACACCTGATATCTCTAAGCATTGTAAGAGTATCGATACAATACACATCTTCAACTAGAGGTTTGTTCGTATTGTTTATCTCTTTTCTCAAAATAGGAAAATCAAAATTATTACCATTATGTGCAACAAGGCAAACTGGTTGCATATTGTGTTCTATAAAATTGTTAATCATTTTCACAGTACTTTCATTGAATTTTTGTTGTTCTTCTAGCTTAAAGTTGGACAAGCCTCAAAAAAATTAAAAAATGTCGGGTTTATAAACTAAAACTTGTGTACAGATATAAAGGCACAGAAAGTAAGTAGGTACCTGTAATTTTTTCTGCCTCTGCTGAAATTAACTTCCATGGATTGAAACATAAGCTTAGCTTGTTCTGGACTCTCGGATATACTCTAAGCCTTAGGTGATTTGCTTGTACAGCCACTAAACTTAATTCAATGATACGAGTCTTGTTATTCTCATAAAAAGGTAGCCCTGTTGTTTCTGTGTCAAAAAATATAAAAGTTTTTATATCACAGATGTGTGGACTGGTGCTCATATTGCTTTTGTTATTGTTTGAGTAAGAAGGTTGGAGAAACACTTTGAAATAGCGATGGTACCTCCGAGTTATTATGAAAGTTATCATTTGAAAATACTTCGATATCAGATAAAGAGAAAAATACGAATAATGAAAGATATATATTCATAAATTATTCTTTTTTATTATTCATTAATGATAAGGAATCTAAGGTATATATAAATACCGTAAATAAAATATGTATCAATATTTACGATATATAGTTATCAAATTTAGATAAAATCTACTACCAACTACAAACAAAACCTAACCTCACTGAATCTGTCATACTGCCGTCATTTAATGGGGAGGTTGACAGAAGCCGTGCGCGCAGCCGCAGGCCAGGGGCATGGTGTATGACTGTTCCAGGGGCGTAACAAGTAACAAGGCCAAGAATACAAAACATAGCTCTGTGAGTTCATAGGACTCATCCAAGAGAATCGAGCCAAAGATAGAATAGTCAAGTTTAAAAATAGTTTTTTAATTTTATCTGGAGACACGTGCATATTAGCGCTGATTTGTCAATTATAAATACTGTGTATTTTATCCATTAAACGTTTAAAATGCAGGTAAGATGTAAATGTACCTACCACGAAATACTTTCTAGATAACCTACTTTTTCTCCTTAGGACCCAAATGAAGATACAGAATGGAACGATATATTACGCAAAAAAGGAATTCTTCCCCCGAAGCCAAAAGAGAAAGAGGTTACAGAAGACCAAATTATATCAATGCTTGAAGAAACTATAGAGAAAAAGACGTCAGGTAGTAAAAACTTGTAACTTAACATCAACATGGCCTGCTCTGTTTTTTCGAAGGATAATGGACAACTTCTGTTCTCGACAAAGAATTATTGAAAAATATTAGATTCAGTAAATAGGGCATTTCAAAGTGAATCAAACACTGTGTTTATATCAAATAGGATTTGGATATTGTTAAATATGAGGCATTTATATTGTGACTGATTGGATCATCTACTTTCAAGACAAGAGCTGCTTTCCAGTGGCCCTGTTGTGTTCAGCAATATTACCATCCCACTGCTTTTGTATGCTCGTGCATTGTTTCTGGAGTAGTTCAGGAGAGTATCACTCTCAAAACCAACAACCACTAGAAAGCGATTTTGGTCCTGGTCTACCGAACTACCGATTTTAAAGCAAAATCTAACGAAAAGTGGACTTTTGAATTGAATAATTTTTGCTGCCTATATTTCTGATGCATAGCAATAAAAAGAATCACAATAGTACTATTTTTATTCATACTAGTCAAGCTATATTTTTAGTCTATATATTATATATATATATATATATATATATATATATATACAATAATGGACAAATATGAATATTTACCTAGTTACCTTTAGAAAACAAATGTCAAGTCGACATTGCCAAAAATTTGAAGCTGAAGCGTAAAGCAGTTTGGGCAATATTGAACAAATATAAACAAAAAGGTATCTTGGAAGCCTCTAAGAGAAGTGGTCGGCCTAGAAAGCTAACTGCTAGATCAGTTAGATTAGTACAAGTAATTTCGTCCAAAGATCCATTCAAAACCCCAAGACAAATAAAAGCAGAAATCGAGACAAAAGGAATTGTCAGTGTTTCTACGAAAACTATAAGTAGAAGATTAAATGATTTGAAGTTATTTGCACGTCGTCTGAGTAAGAAGCCGCTAATCTCGAGGAAAAACCATAAGGACCGATTACAATTTGCACAGTTGCATCTTGATTGGAGCATCTGTAGCTGGAAGAGGGTATGTTTCAGTGACAAATCCAAGTTCAATATGTTTGGATCAGGTGGTGTTCATTACGTTACACATCCTAGTGGACAAAGATTGAACCCCCAAGTACACTTTGCCCACTGTCAAACATGGAGGCGGGTCTGTAAGTTTGTATACACAGACATACTAAAGCATGTCATGTTACCTTATATGGAAGACAATATGCCCTTAAGATCAATCAAATAATGACTGGAAGCACACTTCAAATCTCCCAAAGAAATTCTTTCTGGATGAAAAAATTCCAGTTCTCAAATGGCCTTCACAGTCTCCCGATATAAACCCGATTGAAAATCTCTGGGAATACTTAGATAAGCAAATATGAGATAAACATTATTCAAACAAGGATTAACTTTTTGCCGCTTTAGAGCAAAAGTGGAGACTATTATGCTATATAGAATTATGTATACAGGTTGGTGTATTAATAAAACAAGTTAAAAAACTGGAAGTATGAAGGACAAAAATATATAGACAAATCAAAACAATTATAGAAAAAAGAGGCAAAGTTCATTGAATTATAGAAAACCAACCATGTTTGTGTTAATATTTTGTAGCATAACCATTATTATCAATTACCGCCTGGCATCGTCTGGGCATAGATTGTAGAAGTTTCTTGATATAAGATTCATCAATCGGTCTCCACTTTTGCTCTAAAGCGGCAAACAGTTCATCCTTGTTTGAATAATTTTTATCTCGTATTTGCTTATCTAAGTATTCCCACAGATTTTCAATGGGGTTTATATTGGGAGACTGTGAAGGCCTTTTGAGAACTGGTATTTTTTCATCCAGAAAGAATTTCTTTGCGAGATTTGAAGTGTGCTTCGGGTCATTATCTTCTGGAAGATTGATCTCAAGGGCATATTGTCTTCCATATAGGGTAACATGACATGCTTTGGTATGTCTGAGTATACAAACTTATCCATCATGCCATCTATTCTATGTAAAGGTCTGATCCCAAACCCCAAAAAGCACCAACAAACCATAACAGACCCGTCTCCATGTTTGACAGTGGGCAAAGTGTACTTGGGTTCAATCTTTGTCCACTACGACGTCTAACGTAATGAACACCATCTGATCCAAACATATTGAACTTGGATTCGTCACTGAAACATACCCTCTTCCAGTCACAGATGCTCCAATCAAGATGTAACCGTGCGAATTGTAATCGGTCCTTACGGTTTTTCCTCGAGATTAGCGACTTCTTACTCGAGCGACGTGCAAATAACTTCAAATCATTTAATCTTCTAATTATAGTTTTCGTAGAAACACTGGCAATTCCTTTTGTCTCGATTTCAGCTTTTATTTGTCTTGGGGTTTTAAACGGATCTTTGAACGAAATTACTTTTATTAATCTAACTGATCTAGCATTTAGTTTTCTAGGCCGACCACTTCTCTTGGAGGCTTCCAATATGCCTTTTTGTTTATATTTGTTCAATATTGCCCAACTGCTTTACGCTTCAGCTTCAAATTTTTGGCAATGTCGACTTGACGTTGACCATCTTTGTATAACTCAATGATCTTAGTTTTCACATCGAAAGAAATTTCTGGATCACGCGGCATGGTCTTAAAGTTACTCAACTCATTCCACAATAGTTGAACACAAATTTATCTTCTTCTGACACGAAACTGTACTAAACTAATGTTGAAAAGAATTTGTCTACATATTTTTGTCCCTCATAAAAAAGTGCTTAAATTCAGACTTGTATTGTGTTCATTGCAGATAATGCAAAAACAAGGAATTTAGTTTTTCTACTAGTAACGCATTTGTTTATGGAGCAATAAAGTATGAATTCGTTTTCTAAAGGTATTTAGGTAAATATACATATTTGTCTATATACTTTTGTCCATTACTGTATATATATATGTATATATATTTGCTTTAGTGTGGAGTTGCCCACAAAATTGCAAAACACCAGGTTAAAGTGATTATATTGATAAGGCTAAATCTCCAAACCCACTTATTTGGAGGATTGGCTCATCCTGTTAAGAGTGTTCAAATGGGCAATTTCCAATCTTAATCCTAAGATGATCCTGCATAAATCCTGGATATAAACAGAGTGATAATAGTATCCTAAGAATGGTTGTCTCTATTACAGTGTTCTTTTAGAAGGCAAAAATCTAGCAGATCTGAACTTGGATGAATTAGATGAGTTAGAAGATTCTGAAGATGAAGCTGTGTTGGAAGAATATAGAAGAAAAAGGATAGCAGAAATAAAAGCCTTGGCCCAAAAAGAAAAATTTGGGACTGTGGGTGAAATTTCTGCTCAGGATTATGTTAAGGAAGTTAACAAAGCTGGAGAAGGGATTTGGGTCATTTTACATCTATATAAACAAGGGTTAGTATAAAATTCCAGCATCCACAGAGCAAGTGTTTCTCTGTCTACTAGGCCTGAGCTACTAAGCACTCATATGTAAAACTTTTGTTCCAGGATTCCCTTATGTGCTTTGGTAAATGAACATATGAGAATGCTGGCTGCTAAATATCCCACAGTAAAGTTTCTAAAATCCATATCAACAGTTTGTATTCCCAATTATCCAGACTCAAACTTGCCAACAATCTTCATATACTTTGAAGGTGAATTGAAGCATCAAATTACAGGTCCCTTGGAGCTCCGTGGACCCAATTTAACCATTGAAGGTAACTTTTTAATATATACAGTTTTCATATATTTCATGATGGAACATATTCTTTAATTTCAGAGTTTGAATACCTTCTTGGTAAAGCTGGAGCTATAAATACCCCAATTAAAGAGGATCCACGACCAAAAATAAAAGATAAACTATTTTCCGATTTATCTGAAACAAATGATTGGTAACAAATATATAAAGATGAAGTATTTGCAATATTGATATAATTTATTTTTTCTTTACGGTAAATTGTTTAGAAATGCTTTACACTTTTCTGAGAAAAATTAAAGAACAAAAAACTTTTCATGTCATTTTATTAGCTTCATATATTCCTACTGATTTATTCTTGAAGAAAAAGGAAAGTTTTATATAAATGGGCAAAATAATTTACTTTATCATCACATAATCTACTTACCATTACTGTTTTGATGTAATTGCTATGAAAATGAAACGTTTTTAGTGACATTACTACTGAAAGGGTTTTTACTGACATTAATACTGAAAGGGTTTTAAAGTGAAAATACGTGAGAAAATATATATTTCCCTTTATTCCTCAAATATTCAACAAAAACAACCAAAACTTAAGCGATATCCAACCTCTTCAATCTGAAAAGCTAATCTCTGTACAAGCTGTATGCTGTTCCTTTTATGAACAAATCTAATCAAAAGATATAACATATCTAGAAGGATTGCAAGATTACAGATGTTCTGAACTTTCTGCAAAAAATGTATCAAGCTATCAAAAAGTTCATACAGTTGTATCACACAATTGAACCTGATGTACATGAATCGCAAATGTAAAAGGTTGAATTCTCCAGAATTTTTTTTAAAACTGACGAAAATCACAGTTTTCCTTAAGGGTTTTTTGCAATTTCCCCTAAAATGCACCAAGTAAACTACAAGGATGAAATATTTGCGATAGTTTGAACTTTTTTGATATCAGAGCACATTTTCTTTAGATAAATTCAAACCACAATTAACAGTAGGCCAACCAGTGGATCAATTGTTATAAAACAGTATTATTTTTATTGTCTTAATTTATACTGAAACATACTTTATTGTTAAAAGGTATGACTGTCATTGCTAAAGTTAATCAAAATGGTGTATTTGGCTTGAACTAAGTTCAAATGTTAGTTAGTTCCCCATTTTTGCATAGTGTCTGCAAAAAAATCGGACAAGGTATATTTATACACATTGACCCATTGTTGATAAAATTGAACTTAAAATTGCGTTAAAAAAAACGTAACTATATATTAGGTGAAGAAAGCTCTTAGGATTTTCCATACAGTGTATAATAGCAATGTCAGCTATTTGACATAGTTCAGAATATTTGTTATACCGATATACAACAGTCTTTACATTGTGACACTTTAGAAATAGCCTCATGTGTATTGACTTATCTCAACACAGGACATTCATAAAGTATACTGATAAAGTGGCAGGCTAATTTTACTGAAAATGATAATGACAACAAATGTTGAAAGGGACTTTTCTTAGAACAGAAAGTATGTATTTTCACACATTTTAATTACAAATGAAAGCATTGGTCTGCTATGGGTCCTCACTTACAAATGATTCCCATTAGATGAAAATTGAAGGAATTTGGGCGTTTACTTTTGCATGAAGTTTGTGACAATACGACAATGTTTCACACATGAGGCTATTATAAGGACTATACAGTAGTAATGTGAATGAACATTCAGTTTTTTGTCATTGTCGCAGAAATGTTCCTAAAATATTATATACATTTTATACATCATTTATGTATATGAACATTAAACCTCTAATTGCTTAACAGAAGGAGTACTGAAAATGTAACATTTTTACACCTTATCAAAAACTTTATGCACATCTATAAGATTTTATCAGTTGACACCATTAACTGTAAACGTGTTATTTTTTTTAAAAGCTACCTAAACACATGTTTGAAGTTTGCAGACAGAACAAATCATCTACATTCGACATTTTTAGTAATAACATAAAAATCTATAACTGTTTTGTATCCTGATTATTTTTAGGAGTAAATCAATTCCAGGTTTCATACAAAAAAATCATACCATTGATTAACCAGAATACGTTATTCAATGTTGGTACATAACTTATACCTTTCCCACATTCAATCTTTGATGATTTACGAGTGCTTAGAGAATTTTTATAGCTTAGATATGGAGAATTAGTATAACACCATACATATTTCGAATATATAATAACATACAAAAAGCTATCAGTGTTTTCTGATTAAAAAAGACGTATACTCTACACCTAAATCTTAGGATCATCGTAGTAGACCTCAACAGGGTTATACCATTCGCTAAGGCGTTTGCTGATATTTTTTGCAATTTTCTTCAGTTGCTTATATTGTGTATGGAAAAAATACTCGAGGCATAACCAAGAGCTGTGAGGTATAATGACTGGTGGAATGCTCATGGCCTCAACTGGTAGTGATTCACATAATTCCCTGTCTGATAAAAGCTTGCAGCTTTCTATAAATGTTTCAAGTGCGATACTTGGTCCTTTGAGACAACAATCACAACAACCACGCAGCTTTACCACTTGTTAAACTGTTACATTATTACGACTCTCAATATGACCCGCAAGACTGTGCAATAGTCGTAATATGCCTCTAACCAAGTGTAAAACAAATATCTACAATTGTAACAGTACATATACTTTTTTGACTAAACTATTTTAGTCACTATAATACATTAATCTTACATTATATATACATTCAGATAAATCTATACAAGCAACGCGAATGTAAAATCTCACGCAATATACCACTTATTTTTCTTTCAAACGTGCAAATACATCCAGCGGGTATATCACGTACTCTGTACTTTTGTTTATAAAATGTACACTGATTCAACCTTGAATGTCAACTAGCATGTTTATTGAATTTTTCAGCTACTTACCTTGCCGCTAAAAGAATCCAAGTTCATATAAAAATATAAAAATACATGTTTGGTTCATTCAGAAACACCTTTCAAACATATTTTTAAGTTTTTCACCACTCAATGACTGAGAGAAATTTAAATATATCACAGTTCACTTTTTAAATGAAGAATAATCTACTGTAAACAAACCTATTCAGCATTTATCATTATTGGTACACATGAGTCTAAGAGTTTATGATGAAAGGCTGGAATGCAAGAGATTATTGATTTGTAAATGCTTAGTCATCACAAAAACCAAATTAATTCACTGGCTGCAGTGTAAAAATAGTTGTATGCATTATGTTAATACGCATTCCGTATTTTCACATATCATTGCTTACCTTTGCTATCACTCAGTGCGTGAATTATAGCGCTATAACAAGCATGCTTTAGCAGGTCATGATATGTTCACTGTTAGACCATTTTAGTTGGCATTCAACAGGTAACTTCATTCATATTCTACACACGTTTTGCTTCAGCTGGTATAAGTACAAGTAATCATCATCAATGACTCAATTAAGCAACTCTTAGTATACTCAGTGAAAAATAAAATAAGAATACCCAGTAAAAAGGCAGAAGACGCTAATAACTTTTCGGAACAAAGTACAGCTACATGAGATAGAGCAAAGCGCCATCTATCTTGTTTAAAGTACAGCTAGCTTGAGATGAGATACCTCAAGAAATCATGCCTCGACCACTGGACGAATGCATATGGCATTGGGGTGACTCAGCTCATTAATAGGATAAACCAGCAAATGTTTCGCTTGAAGATTTAGTCGCTACTTCCTGTTGCATATGTCTGACTGTATACAAAATTCTTTTTTACTTGGTGTTCTCTTTTCTTTGTCGCCGAGTATATACATATTCCTATCCGTCATAACGATATTCTGACGTTACGATAATGGGTGCCTATAATTTAGGCCTTGTCACCAGAGCAACAGTAGTCAGTTGGCAAGAGAAAAGTATAGTAACACAAATTTTGTGGAAACGGTCCAACTTGCGATGTGGAAGATTGCACGAGGGTAATTTTGAAAGTATGAACCGACTGCGTATCATGCCTGGGCATCCTGTCACGTGACGTCCGTTCAACCTCGGACACTCTCGACTAGCTTTTCACTGCCGCCATTAAGTCTCACCTCTCTGTCGATTACATGGTTATACTGCTTTGTTTGTGGTCATGTCGGTCAGTAAACCCGCCGATTGTGAAATGCGCTCAGTAATTCGTTTTTTAAGGCGCAAATAGTTCGTCCAGCAATAAATGACGAGAGGTGCTGTGAAACAGTGAAATCGGCGGGACCTGCTCTTTAGCAGTCATTCCACTCAACGGCAATGCTCAGCCTCGTGTTGTGGAAAGAACAGAGGCGCAGTTGCACAAGATTCGCTGGCATTACTGGATCACCCACCATACAGCTCTGGCTTAGCACCATCTTTTTCCAAAATTCAAGGAATTTTTTAGTGGAAAGAGCTTGACGACGGGATCCAAAAGCTGGTGACTCGAAAAGACAAATTTTTATGATGACCATGTTGAAAAATAAAATGTAGTTTGACTCCATTACAAAACGGTCCTTACTTTATAAATGGCACTTGTATCAAACACAACAAAGGTTGTTTTGTTAAATTCCCTCGAGCAACATGTCATTTTAGCTGCCCACTCATGCGAAGCTTACAATTTACAGTGCTACGAGCCCCTTCCCACTTCAGTTAGCCCAACTATTGAAATGTTAGTTTTTTTCTTATCAAACACAAATAATAAAAATGTAGCAGGGTGTTATAGGTTTAAAATATTAACAATGAATATTTTGAGAATATATAATCAAATTTGCAGCATAAAAATAACCCATGTTGCAATTACAGCATTCCAACCTATTTTCATTTCAATACACAATAAGTCTATAACGCATAGGTGGCAGTGAAAAATAAAAGCCATGACAATTTTTTTTATTAATCACAGCTGTCAGAATAGTTTTGGGTAGTTAAGGTTTTCAAAATGGGTAGAGGAAAGGTTATTAGTGAGAAAATTCGGTTACTGATAATTAAATTTTTTAATTCTGGGAAATCAAACTCAGAAATTGCAACTTTGCTAGACTTATCGCGGTACAGTGTGAGAAATATTGTTAGAAGATATAACGTAACTGGCTCAGTTAATATTAAGCCACGATATGTGAAAAAAGTAATATCACAAATGCCGACCGAAGAGCATTAAGAAGAATAATCGTGAAAAACAGGCGTGACAATTATTTACAATTAAGTGCTCTGTGGAGTGACGCTGTTGGAATGAGAATTTCGAGGTCCACAACTCATAGAGAGGCCCACAAACTGGGATTTAGCACTTGCAAGGTAAGTTTTCTTATACAAAAAAAAGTGAAGTAAAAACCCTAAAGTTTCACAACTTGTTTATAGGCCAAAGAAAAGCCACTATTAACTCCACTGCAAAAGAAAAATCGGCTTAGATGGGCTAAAGAACATAGACAATGGACACCTCAACAATGGTGTGCAATACAAAATGGAGTGATGAGGCCTGATTCGAAGTTTGTGTTGGTGACAGTCGCAGTAGAGTTATTCGCAAAAAAAATTGAAGCATTCCATGTTGACTGTCTGAAAAGAAAAGTGAAATTTCCAGCATCCATTATGGTCTGGGGCAGTATGTTATCAAAAGGAGTAAGAAAACTTCATTTAATTGATGGAAATGTGAATACAAACAAAAATTTGGCAATTTAGAAGAATCGCTTTTACCAGTGATGGAAGAATGTTTGACATCCGGCCAAGATTTTGTGTTTCAGCAAGATGGTGCAGCGTGCCATACCTCAAAAAGGTTATAAAATGGATGGAAGAAAATAATCTATCACTTTTGAAATGGGCTTCTAGCAGTCCAGATCTGTCACCTATTGACACTTTGTGGCACGAGTTGAAAAATGTTCTACAACATCCTGCTCGTACAATCACCGAACTGAGACAAAAGCTTCAAGAATATGGGATTGTTTTACATCAAATGTTTGCCAAAACTTGGTTAACATTATGCCCCAAAGAATTTCAGCCGTAATAAAAAATAAAGGTGATGTTACCCAATGGTAATCTTTCAATTGTTGCTTTGTTAACTTCGCACATTGTTTATTTGTTCACATGTTCTATTAGTTATAGGTGTCTAAGTGATTTCAAATATGTACTTTTTACGACTAGAGTATATCTAAAATGTTTTTGAGAAAATAAATTGTTTTAGAAGTAAATAGTTTCGTCATGTTTAGTTTATAAAGGCATATTTTGGTACAAATCTTGAAGTGGGCCAAGTGTGGGAAGGGGCTCGTATTATAATTCATATTTATCCCGATGTAATATGTGTAGTCCAAAAATAATAATAATAATAAGCATCTTTTTTGTCATACATTGGTATAGCATAAGTGAAAAGAGGACAACCACCATACATACATAATGCTTAAAATGAATATTATATTTGTACAGCTGGGACACCATACTGTCGCTACTCTTCGCTTCAATGGGCAAGTACCTTCAACGGCAATTTTGGTGTCACTTGGTGGAGTTAATCAATAGTATTACCGGACCGAATATTATGCGATTTGAAACACAGGGGAATAGCGAGTTGAGTTACAGGCCGAATTTGTTTATTAGGCAGGCATCAAGCCAATATTGCCGTTCACGCTACCTACGGTGACTGGCTATGTAATAGTGGTGATAACATGCTGTATAACTTTTCAAATACTATTATTTGTTCACTAGTACTGAATCAGTATGTCTACATAATAAACGATTTCAGAATAATAACATATATTTGGCGGTAAAGGGTTAAATTCTTTATTAACGCACTGAACGCCAACGAATTTCCTTGTACAATTTTAAAAAACACGTTATTAAGTTTTATTTAATATAATATGTAAGGTTATAAATATTTATTTCGGTGCATTCCGCGGCACGTAAACTTGTATGGACACAGAACTCATGAATGACAGCCCTAAGTAACAACTTAAAAGTAGGTATGCAGTGACAGGACCGACAAAGCAGCCAATGCGTTAATAAAATAATATATTTCCAAATATCAATTGACGATAAGCTCCACATTTGATATGTTGGATGACCCCATATCCTAAAAATCACATACGATTGTAGTAAAATTTTTCATAGTTGGCATTTTGTGATTCCACTTAACAATCAAGTATCTCTTCCTTTTCCATTAAACACGCAAACAGTTATTCCCACATATTTTTTCAACTGCGTCTTTCACACCAATTTATTCACTTTACATAATAATATTGCGTCACATGATTACTTACCTACTACTCGATAGTAGTTAACACCAAGGTTGATTGCTATAAAATCAAGTAAAGGCTATAAGTCAAACCTGTATGAATATTATCAGAAAGAATAGTATAAAAAGCATTAGGGAGCTCCGTAAAATAATATTCAGCTTTAAACCATGTACAAGACCACGCGAAAAACTAATCTGTGACCCTTGACATAGTCCAGTCAAATGAATTTTGGTAAGCGCTGCCAAGATTTTATCTTTATTCCATCAACGGCGTAGACAATGGTGTTGATTGTTCCATGTCCAATTCCAAAACCGATAACTTCTTTTCCGCGGACATTGTATCGTTTTCATAACTTAAATGTTAAGGCTGGGTTTGCAAGGCATTGAGATTAGGAAAAAAATGAATTTCAAACTGACAATTCTACTTTGTTACTAAACTAAATACTAAAGTCGTATAATCTTCCTCATAGGACCCTCAAATCTAGGCAGCTAGGTTTTACTAATAACTTATTTTCTAAAAGTTATAAATCACACCTTTCGCGAATTTTACCTAACCGCAATACCCTGCACGAGTGTGAGCTTCCTTATATGGGATACTTACAAAATGAAGTGATACGAAAGATGAATGAAAAATAAAAAAATCCCCCAACATTTCGATTTAACATTTATTCAACATCCAATAAAACAAACTGAAAATGTAACCAAACCCTATATCAAACGGTTGTTTAGCTTTCCGAATAAAAATGCGCTTATACTTTTAACCATTTCTTAATAATCGGGCGCTACCCTCAGAACAAACATAAAGCAACACCCCTACACAAATGAAACAAATAATAGTAAGTTGTTACCTATAATAATAACTTGCACACAAAATAAACATAGGATTATTCAATAATTAGATGGGTATATGTAAATAAAACATAACACCTTCCACTGACTCCGTGTGTATCGATCACACAAAAATTACCATAAAAGAAGTTCAAAAACGCCACGCCAGGTAAAAATACATAAAATAATTTGACTGTCTGACCTAGAATAATCATAAAACTCTTGGCGGTTTGATAGGCATCAATTATTGTACCATAAGTTATGCATAAAATATTTTTGTTCCTTACAAAGACATTTTCAAAGCAAGCATTTCTTCAAAAAAAAAAAAATATAGCGAAATTATCAGTAAGCAATATGATGAAAACATACAAATCATGGGTATATAAATATAATGAAAGCTTTATGTATGATAATAATTAGTATTTGTTCTAGAAGTTTCTATATGGAACACTGATACGTCCACATTGTAACAAAGGAAATATATCGATACATAATGAAAAAAACCTTGGAAACCCCTCCAAAATTGAATACAACTCAAATGTTAAAAACAAAAACAAGATGAAACATAAATTTCAGTCTTTGATTATTATGTGAAGTTGTTCTTGTATTGATTAAGGGCAACGCTTAAAATATACAGAAAAAAATCATGTTTATACACAGTGCCTTAGGGTGCAGTTAGTTACAGTTGTGTGAATTATACAAGTACAAAATAAAAGAGAACGTCAAATTCTGAAAATCAGGATAGTTTATTCTTTGATACACGTGGTTTTGAAAGCTTTTGGACATACATACGATTACCATCATTTATCATATATATGTACCCTATTCTGGTTCACTGGAACAGAAAGGTATTTTGTCGAACATATTTCAAATAATGGTGTGTGGAAACACATCAGGTTTACAACATATAAAGTTTCCAAGGACAATATGGCAAGTAGGAAAATTAGTAGGCTCAATGAGTCGTGGAAGGTGTAGAACCGAAGCACTTCTATGAATCAATGATTAAAATAACAATTTTAAAAGTAATCAGCTAACAGTCTTAAGGTAAGTTACATATACTGATAAACTGAAAAGATAGCAATAATAACGTAACTCCAAGCTGTTGCCACGACACCGTAGTTCATTTTATGTACATGCACAGCCCATAAGTTAAAATACGACTAAAAATTCGACTATCGAGCGAATTTCAACGATTGAGTTTTTTCTTATTTTGTTTTTTTGGAAAGTGATTCAATTCCATAACGCGGTGCCATTTATACACGCATCAATTTCTAATGTTATAATTAGATTAGACGGCATATTTTATATACCTCAAATAAATATACAAATCGCCTTAGAACAATAACTTATAATACAAGGGAACAAGCCATCGATGTTAATATTAGGAAATCGCAGAGGTTACCAGACAGTTTTCTACATCTGACTCGAAAATTATGCCGTTTCCAATTCCTTAGCAGAATTTTTTATAAACATTGTTTGGTTACTTTTAGATATTACAACTCTTTTAATTTTGCACCATACTACAAATGTCATCTCAGTTATATAAACTCCAAAAAAAGAAGAAATCCAAATCAAATAGAACATTTGTAACCAGGAGGGATTCCGCACTGGTGATTAATTGGACGCATATTTTATTTTAATGTTGTCAACAATTTGATTATTTCAGCACTTATTCACCCGAAAATTTCGCGATTAGGATTGCTGACTCAACTTGCTGTAAATGTTGGACGGTCATGGAACAATACGAGATATCTTAAATCATTAGTAACTTAAATAACATTTAGATTTTTACGCAAAAGAAACAAAAAAATTCTGTAAATCTACTTGGGCACGTGAGAGATATCTTTCCTGTCAGCATAGTCACAAATTTGAATAACCGTCTTAGTACAAGGTGCAGTGATATCAAATCAATGTTCGCCATTATTTAGTTGACTTCATTTTCTAGTTTCAAGTCCAGATCTTCAATACTGACTTCTACAGCACTGATCCAACCTCCTTCACTTCATCTAATTTCGCTGATCTGAGTTTCGAATTTTTGAACCATATTTTTGTTACTAGCAATTGTAGATTCTTGAAAATATATTATTCTAGTTATAAAGGAAGTTGCTTCAGAAACAGTTTGAGACGCCACTGTTACAACAATCCCCACTTTTTATTGGCAAAACATCAGAGTTGACATATTCGATACTTCTACTTGGGTATGAAAAGATTCCTATATGTCTTTCATGTCCATATATTCACAAATTTTGAATAACTCTCAGTCTATATGTATGGCTGTACCAAACTGATGTAAGGCTGGTATCTAAAAATAACCAAGCTGGTATATTATGTGACATATCAAAGTCTGTGGTTCCCGATGGTATTAATTTACAAAATTATGAAAAAATAAAGCAAAATAAAAACAATACATCAAAAATATGTACAAATTGAATGTAAATTATCGACCAAATACATTCTTTCCACACTCAGACACTGATTCCCGTTATCTTCCACATTAAACAGTGGAAACATTGACCCATCTACTCCAAACATTACCGCAAATATGTCTCACTGGGTGTGATTTGACTAAGAAAATCCAAAGATCCAACGAATGGTTACATGGAAACTTGTTTACTAACAAAATTCAAGCAGGCATTATATGAAGTAGATGAGTTTGGACCCGATCATATCGTTCTATTATATTCCTCTAGAACACCATAAAAATATTTGATTGCAAACATATACTGAATTCGGAAGATGCCATCTTCAATTATAACTGAAACAATTGCATCTTATCACTTGTCGTAGGGCTTTACCAGTGTGTTATTCTTAAATTTAAAATTACATAATGGTTATCTTTAGTAGTCTTCCAGAAGTGTATGATAGAACTGTACCACATCAACTTTACATGTCTAGACTGTCGTTGCATACCAATTTATTTTTTCAGTTTTGTATATTGATCCAGAATATCATCTGTCTCATTTATATTATTTTATGCGAACTGGGCGCAGCAACAGTGGATTGTCGAAAAATAGCTAAGTTAAAACCCAACAATAATAATATACACTAGGACCTACACTTTCCCCCCTATACACTTATACAATACAGTGGTAATAGTTATTTGTCAAAAATAATTTTCAACGTATCATATTGATTAGCCTGTACAACACGAGTTTTATTTTTTTGCGACGGAGAGACGTCTAAGGTTCTTTATTTTCATCTCTATATAGTTAATAATATTTAGCAGCCGCGTCAAACAAGAAAAAAGTGGGCCAATCACAGAATCACAACGCGGGCGGGTCACTTCGCATCGCATATATATACTACACCAGTCAGATGAACTTACAAACCTCAAAACTACAGAGAAACATTTACGAAACGTAATGGCTATTTGAAGTCATACGTTGCGGTATCTTTTAAGTGATATGTCCATCGATTCAGTCATCAAAATGTTTTTAGCTACTTGAACACACGCAAGCGTGCTACCTCACTGGAGTGACTTGGCGACGTCGCCAGCAACCGTAGACAAACTGGTTTAAATAGATGACAGCTAGCTAATGTTGTAACCAGTGGTGACGTCAGCAAACCGACGCCAGTGCCGGTATTCTCGTTCTTCAATACGCGGTGTTTCGCTCAGCGAATATGACGTCATTTGCACTTGCTTTTAAATGTGCTTGTAAAAATATGGTATTCCCGTTTTGGAAAATCGCTTGACGACTCCAAAACGATTACTAAGTGATCGCTTTGAAATCTCGAGGTATGTAATTTTTTTTGTAAAATCCTACCATCTAAGAAAACAGGATGAGCAAAATTTGGAGTAAATGATCAAACACTTTTGGCAGTGCCTTTTGTTATAAAATAATTTATTCTCCAACTAACTATTATAATGTCAGTAAATAAAACATACTGTCCTCTAGTTGATGTGCCGGCCATTCCTCTCAACCAACAGTACCTTAACCAAAGGCGTAAGGCTTGTGGCGTACATGATTCGCTAACGAAAACGTATCGTTTTCAAGGAAAAAACGAGAATACCGGTCCAGATCAGTTAGCCGCCATATATTTCGAAAAAATAATTGAGCTACGGTTGAAGGCCATGTCAACAACGCACTAGGTAGAGGTAGGTAGTTCCAAAATCAATTTGTAGTCTTCCATACCTTGAATAGTGGACACGTAATCGTATGTATACTATTTTGGCTTTCCTTTTTTATACAGAGGTTGTTGAAGTTCACCTTATTCGACTGCACTAGACATATTGTTCGATGAAGAATTCACAGCGAACACAAATGGCAAAGTTAGTTACGGCTAGGATTCATGCGAATTTTGAGACTCCCCCTCATATATGTGCGGAGGTTATACAATTCTACCCTGTGAAAAATTGAGGAAGATATGGAAGCACCGTTACGCACTGAATTAGCCGAAAAACGGACATTTTCCTACCAACAAATGGTTGAATAAAAAATGTAGTCAAAAGTATGGAGCGATTCCTATTTGGAACTAACAAGTGGAAAGTCAGAGTAAATGAACTAAACAAAACTAATCATTGCTTTGTCAACTGAAAAAAATAAATAATGAATACACACATTCTGAATTTTATAATTAGGTGATCAATGCAGAGTATAAATGTATGCGAATTGACAATTTGGCAATTCATTTTTCGAACTTAACAAATAAATTCGAGCTGATTTCAGCTCTATTTTCTTAGTACCAAAAGCCCAAGCTTCCAAATCATTAAAGCATTCTCAAATTCGTAGATGAATCCGATACCGAAATTTTGCCATAAATTTTGAGCGGATTTTTTAATCATTAGTCCCAATCGAACACGTTTTTAAATGGCTAGAATTTAGGATCTCTTTTATCATAAGACATGTGTGTTGGCAAAAAAGATATGTTGATGTAAACGGATTTGAAACTGAAAATTTTTAAATGCATCCATGATCTTGTATACATTTTTTCAAAAGTAATTTTTTGTAAAGTGTAAGCTGCAACAAGTGTTGACTAGAATAAAGATTACAAAATGCGACGCCCTATGCAATGCACGCTACAATTGGGTGCTGGTTAGAATACTTTTGCACGCTAATAGTGAGATTTTTGGCATTACATGTTCGACTAGTACAAATGATGCAAAAACCGAATCCTATTCTAGCGCCAATACCAATACTAATTACTTGAAATGCTTATAGCCTATTTCACGAGTATCCATCACGCTTTGAGGTCTACTGAGGTGAACAGCTGATCAGCAAGCCAAATTTTTGTGTTAAACTGCAACATTGGCCATAATGAATCGGGTGTAAATCTAGCAAAAATTTGTAGCATTTTGTTTTTTGTATGCAAATGAACTTTTCCAAATAAAAGAGCTTTTAGCAACTACAGAATGAATCTGTAGCCTACAAAAAAACAAAACAAAGTATGGCTGTCTAAGTGGCATTGACGGATCAGTCAGAATTATGTGTCCTTTGGCGATATGGGGAATTTTGGAATATTACTAGATAACCTGCTGTCATTCTACCGTGATGGATACTCGTGAAATAGGGTATACATGTGTCATTGCCTGGAGTTGTATTTCTTCAGAAAAATGTGGAACAATTTCGAAAGATATTACATAAGTGTATAAAAAACATTAACAAAAAAAATTGGAACTCAAGTGATTCGAATGGACCATTGACAAACATTTTTTTCTCTATATGACATGTAACTTTATTGGTATTTTACCGGAAATACGCTTTAAAGAATCCGGTTTGAATCCGCTCTCCTATAACCAATCACCTCATATACCATACTTCCTCCAATATTTTTAAAAAAACATATCAATATTCAACAGCACTTACTCAACGGCTAGGAACATATGACTCGCACAAGTGAAGAAGTCGTAAAGTTAATATTACAAAATGATATTTAGCAAGGTCTATATAAACACCACTAAATGCTTTTGTCTATTTTTCGAACGTTCGCGGGGCAGTAAAAATGTTTTTCACAGACGAACTGCAGCGGCAGGAGAGGTAAAAAGCGGCGTCACTTTTTTCACCAAGTCTAGAGCCGACTAATGTTGTGATTGACAGCTAAGCAGAAATGCAGATGAATATTCCTTTATTTTTACCCCTCATTAAGAATCCAATCGACAATTTGGATATATAGGGTATTACAACTACAACTTAGAAAATAAGAAGCGTGTCCATTTCTTAATGGCCCAATGCTGTTGCAAGGGAAGCAAAGCTCAGTAAATATACATCTAACTCATTATTAAAAAATGGCATAAGATTTAAAACTGTCGCTTCAAATATAACAAAACAAGCTCTGTGTGTATCAACATCACAACAGACATTTGCTGTCGAGATTTGTTACAAACTATGTAGATGATCGCTTATAGGAAGCGTGAAAACAGAGAAAACACTAATACATAAAGTGATTATATTTTATTGTCCTTTCAGGTAAAAAGGCTTGGTTAAAAAATTGGGGCACCTACTGTATGAAGATGATACTTTTCAATGGAACCTAACTAGACATCTTTGCAATCGAAGAAAAATAATGAACAATAAAGAAACCATTATTGACCTTTCCTTAATAATAGCTAATAATGATATTTTAAGGCAACCCTTACAGCAACACTGAGTGCATTATTACTGCTCAACTGCCAAAAAACTGAACGACGCCTCATTTTAGAGCAAAAGCTAACAACCAATAACAGGTTTGCGACCCTCTCCCTTGCAAGCTCATTGCTTGCACGCACAACACATCGACGACAACACAGCATCCTGTACCTGTGTCCACCTGGGGAGGGCGGTTACTTTGGCGATCTGGGGGCGGCGGTGACGAAATCGCGCAACTGGGCAGTGCGCGTCTCGCCCGGCCTGCGCCGCCCCATACCGCCACCGGTCCTCTCGTGGCCTGGTCTGTTCGGACCGCCTCCGCCTCGAGGGCCGCTGGGACCGTTGTACCTGCTCTGCTGTTGATTGTTTCCATGGGCTGACCCGTTCTCCGAACTGCCTCCGCGCGAACTTGGGTTATCTGAGAGATTAAAATCGACTGATAAAGGGTTTTCCAATGACTGATCAATGCTGAAAAAGGAACAAAACAAGCTGTGTGGGGTATACAGTTTTTTTTTCATTTGGAAGGATCATCAAATTTATGACAATTTGTATGGAATATGACATCAGTCAACTATCAGCTACAACTCCGCACAGTGGCATATGTTCGACAGATTCAGTGTTGAATGACCCTGCAGCATAAATCCGAATCAAATTGAGCAATGATATGAATTAAGGGCATGGTGTACAAAACAATAGTAAACCCGGCTTCACGTGAACTAGATAGAGTTCAAGCTCACAGATCAAACGCAGGTCAACTAGCTTAGTTTAAGGTTGGTAACGTCGAACTTCGGATAATAGAAGGTAAATTTTGCATTTGCTCAGCAGAGTTGCGATTCTGGAGGTAACTCTCACTTAGTGATACTGACATTACACACATATAGATATTAATTACTTTTCATTCATCGACTTCAGCGTTTAGCTTTATATTCATTTTGTGTTGCTATTATTTTTGGCTAATCATCAAGATGTATTAGTACGGATTCCAAAAAACAGCCGTCAAATTTTCTTCAGAGGAAGAGTCGTTGGTAGAGTTGGTGAAAATACACAATCACGTCACCGAATGCAGGAAGTCTGATGTGTATTCCAAAAAAACTGAATAGTGAAGCGTGGATTGTTATAGCCAAACAGTTTAATTGTTTGAGTGGCAATATATGTTAGCGGCGCCGCTGTGGCTACCCATAATTCCCTCTCAAAAGGGTGAAATGATATCGTTATCTTCTGCGACGGAAGGAGAAGCACGAGGGGTCCGGGGACGAATTAAAATAAGAGTGGTGTTGTCACTTTCAGATAAGGTCTGGCTTTTAGTGGTAGCAGAAAGGTCTGACTCTAATTGCAACAGAAAATTTCTGATTGTGTACAAAGTACTGATGAAATTTAATTGAAAATGTTTTGACACATTCAAATTAGGTCTGACATTTGGCAGCATCTAATTGTGTATAAAAGATGAAAATAAAAAATGATACAGATGTTTGTATTATTTTTGAGGATTGTTACGATCAGATAAGGTCTGGCTTTTGACAGCAACAGAAAATGTCTGGCTGTGAATAGCAACAGAAAATTTCTGATCGTGTGAAAAGAATGTTTTGACACATTAAAATTAGGTCTGACATTTGGCAACATCTAATTGTGTATAAAAGATGAAAATAAAAATGATACAGATGTTTGTATTATTTTTGAGGATTGTTACGATCAGATAAGGTCTGGCTTTTGACAGCAACATAAAATGTCTGGCTGTGAATAGCAACAGAAAATTTCTGATCGTGTGAAAAGAAAAGTAATAAAATGAGTTCTAAAAAAAAATGGTGATAATTATGGAAATATGTCACATTTAGATGAGGTCTGGCATTTAACGGCACCAGAAAAACCTGGATGTTAAACGCTGTTACTGCCTAAAAAAAAAAAATATTATGTCTGCTCTCAATTGAGATCGATTGTGAGATAATACAATTGAGGTAGTAGCGAAGATGACGACAGTCACGTACCGACAGCCAAACAAATTGTGCCTAAATACGGAGTAAATGGTAGCACTCGGAATAAAGTATTGATTGGGGATAGACGTGTATTTTTTTTGGGGTAAAAACCAAATCAAATCTACCCCGTTTCTTACATCAGAAGTGGGATTACACCCGTGCCGCATTTTCCACTTTATATTGGACAAAAAAAAAGGGAACAATGTCGGAAGAAAACAGTCCTCGTCGCGAAAGTGTCGAAGTCGCGTGTAGTGCCGAAGTGGATACCGAGGAAGTGGCTATGTCTCCGCCAACTCCTAAACGGCGGAAAGTTGAGTGGCAGGAGACATTGATGAACTTAGTGGCTGCACAACAGCAACAGTTAGCCGAGTTAACTCGGCAGTCCAGAATGACATCGTCCGCCCCGCCAACACCCAGGGATACCATCGTAGATGGCATACAGGCTACGATGTCTGGACATACGTCGTTTAAGCTCACTACGTTCGATCCCGACAAAACTGCATACTCCATCGGGGAATGGCTGGATGACGCTACGAAGCTTAAAGATGAACTAGGTATCAGTGATAATTTAATGATTGCTAAGGCTAGCGAAGCTCTCAAAAATCGTGCGTATCAATACTGTTGCGATTGGAGACCGAGATGCCGAACCTGGAAAATATTCTGCGACGACCTAGTGGTAGCCTTTCCAGACCAGGAGACTCCAGGTGCCCGTGCTTTTAAGGCAGCTACACTCCGGAGTAACGATTGTGAAACTTTATGCGAATATGGCAACCAAAAGCTACGTTATATTCGCAGATTCCAAGAAAACTTGCCATGGAACAAGGTACTTAGCATGGTGGAATATGGGCTGGATAACACAGAAGCCCGTTCTACTTTGCACATTCAAATTCCGGACTCGGAGCGAGAGTTAATGAAGCTGTTTTGCGAAATGGATGCGCGCCAAGTTGGCCGGTCAAGCAAATTCAGGAGAGCTAGCGCACTCACAGGAACAACCTACAGATCAGAACATCATTCTAAGAACCACTACAACCAGAAACCAGCTAAAATAATTAAAAGTACTTGTTTCAACTGTGGTCGCAGGGGACATCACCAGAATACATGTCGTGTCGTGCAAATGGACAAAACAGTGAAAGTTGATGAAAAAGCCGAAACTACTGCCGTGCCATCTTGCACTTATTGCAAAAAGATTGGGCACAGTGAATCAAATTGCTGGTCAAAACATGGGAGGCCCAAGAAAACATTTGTATTGAAGTAACGACGCCAGCTACAAGTTACTCCGATAGCAACATTATTGTGTAATAACCAAGCAACATTATTTACCTACATCATTGACAGTGGTGCCGATGTATCCATAGTGAAACGCTCTGTCATAAGAACAATTAATGGCATTGTCAGGTCATCCGAACAAGTGCGTGCCTTTTCGGGACTCGGGAACAAATCTGTTTACGCCGAGGGTGTGAGCGACCTGATAGTCGTTCTGCCAAATGTGACTTTAGAGATAACTTTCACCGTGGTGTGTGACAGTGCTATTCCGGGTGATGTTGACGTTATTATTGGATGGGATGTTATCGGTCGACCATCTGTGCGAGTTGAAAAGAATGCCGATGGCCTGGATTTGCATTGTGAACCAGTTAATGCGAAGAAATTGTTCACCCTAAAGACTTCTGTGGATGTTAAGATAAATCAGCAAGGGCTAGATGACAGCTTAAAGCCACAAGTGGAGAAATTACTAACACTCTATAAAAGCAAAACGCCTGAAACGATTACAACAGGTAAAATGACCATTCGATTAAAAGACAGTACTCCGGTTTCATACCGTGCACGTCGTTTAGCACTTCAAGAACAAATAGAAGTTAACAAAATAATTGACGATCTTTTGTCTAAAGGAATCATCCGAAAGGGTCGTTCAGAATATGCCAGTCCTATTGTTCTAGTTAAAAAGAAGAGCAATGAGACAAGGATGTGTGTTGATTACCGAGATATAAACAAACGTGTTTATAAAGAAATATACCCCCTACCCGTTATCGAAGAACAGGTGAACTCATTGTCTCACGCCAAATACTTCACTACACTAGATATGAAGTCTGGTTTTTATCAAATGGAAATTGAGGAAAGTTCCAGACACATTACTGCGTTTATCACACCAGATGGGCTCTATGAATTTAACCGTATGCCTTTTGGATATGTCAATGCCCCGGCAATATATCAGCGAGCAATTGACGAAGCTTTGGGAGACCTGAAAGGTAATAAGGCTTTTGTCTACCTTGATGATGTGCTCGTGCCGTCGGCGACAATAGAAGACGGCTTGCAATATCTGGAGGAAGTGTTGAGTGCTTTGGCTATTCATGGATTTTCCTTGAACTATGAAAAGTGTAAATTTTTTGAGAAACAGATAGAGTATCTTGGTGTCCTATTGAGTGAGGGAACAATTCGCCCTAGTCCGAGAAAAGTGAATGCGCTAACCCAATCACCTTCTCCGACAAGTGTTAAAGGTATTCGCCAGTTTATGGGACTCGCGGGTTATTTTCGCAAGTTCATTAAAGACTTCTCCATCATTACGGCTCCAATTACGGCTTTGTTACAAAAAGACCGTGTTTTCGAGTGGACTCCCGAATGTGAGCGGGCAAGGCAATTTATTATGGACAAACTGACCAGTTCTCCTGTATTACGAATGTTCAATCCCGCCCTGAGTTGTGAACTTCACACTGACGCGAGTTCAGTGGGACTTGGCGCTGTGCTGCTCCAAAAAGAAGACGGTGTTTCGCGACCTGTCGCCTATTATAGCCGTCGGACGACCGATTACGAATCAAGGTATCACTCGTATGATTTAGAGACACTTGCTGTAGTGGAAGCTGTTGAGCGATATCGAGTTTATTTGTACGGAGTGCACTTTGTGGTGTACACTGACTGTAATTCAGTGAGAACAACTGCTTTGAAGAAAGACTTTACACCCCCGTGTAGCCCGTTGGTGGATTAAGTTACAGGACTACGACTTTAGCATCGAGCATCGTCCCGGAAGTAAAATGGCTCACGTGGACTATCTGAGTCGAAACCCACCAGAGGAAGAATCTGCTCTGAAGGTGTTCGCTTTGAAAACTATAAACGTGAGTAGACTATCAGATGTCAAAACTTTGCGAAGTTTTCAGGAGCAAGACACATTTTGTTTTGAAATCCTGAATACTCCAGAAATAAATCCCAACTTTATTGTAAAAAATAATGTCGTTGTGACCAAGTCAAAACCCCATAAGTGTTTTGTTCCCATTGAAGCACGCCTTTTGACAATGAAACTATATCATGATGAATCATCACACATTGGTTTCGACAAATGTATAGCCAAATTACGGGAGGATTTATTTTGGCCAAAAATGGGCAAATGTTTGAAAAAGTACATTAGAAACTGTCGAGCATGTGTACTACGAAAATCACATACCGGTCGCAGAGTAGGATGGTGGCAGCATGGCGAAAAACCTGATGATATCCTCCACACTTGGCACATTGATCATGCAGGACCTTTGATAAAATCAAATGGATGCACGCACATATTGGTAATAATTGATGCCTTCTCTAAATATTGCCGTCTCCAACCAATCCCAAAGAAAACCTCTGAAGATAGGATCCGTGCTTTGTTACCAGTTTTTCAAGAGCTGGGGACCCCGAAACGCATAATAGCTGACAGAGCAGCCGCATTCACATCGGTGAATCCAGAATTTTCTTAGTGAGCAAGGAGTTCAGTTACATCATATAGCGACTGGAATGCCTCGAGGAAATGGACAAGTTTATTTGACATTGGGGATCTTGTGGCTGTCGAAGACTCCCAGTTAGCTGGAGGCGGAAAATTGAAACCGAAGTTTAAAGGACCCTTCACTGTCCGAAGCGTCCTTCCTAACGACAGATATTTGCTAGGCGGAAAAGGACGACGTGCTACAGTAGCCGCTCATGAGCAACTACGACGTTGGCCCTCCCAGAACTGACACATAGAATGAAAGTGTACGTAGAATACAATACTCGTATCATGAATCACACTTTCAGATAAGGTCTGGCTTTTAGCAGCAACACAAAATGGTTTGGTGCTAATCGCAACAGAAAAATTCTGACTGTGTATAAAATGATGAATTTAAAAAAAAAAGAAATTTATTTCAAGAGTTTCATATGTCTGACATTTGGCAGCATCTGAATGCGTACGAAAGATTAAATAACAGAGACCATAGTAAAAGGAATAAGTCATCCTTTTTTTTTATTGTTTTCTCGTATTTGTGTTTAAATATTGTTACGATCAGATAAGGTCTGGCTTTTGACAGCAACAGAAAGGTCTGGCTGTTGATCGCAACAGAAAATTTCTGACCGTCAAAATAAGAAAAAAATATAAATTAAAATAAGAGTGGTGTTGTCACTTTCAGATAAGGTCTGGCTTTTAGTGGTAGCAGAAAGGTCTGACTCTAATTGCAACAGAAAATTTCTGATTGTGTACAAAGTACTGATGAAATTTAATTGAAAATGTTTTGACACATTCAAATTAGGTCTGACATTTGGCAGCATCTAATTGTGTATAAAAGATGAAAATAAAAAATGATACAGATGTTTGTATTATTTTTGAGGATTGTTACGATCAGATAAGGTCTGGCTTTTGACAGCAACAGAAAATGTCTGGCTGTGAATAGCAACAGAAAATTTCTGATCGTGTGAAAAGAATGTTTTGACACATTAAAATTAGGTCTGACATTTGGCAACATCTAATTGTGTATAAAAGATGAAAATAAAAATGATACAGATGTTTGTATTATTTTTGAGGATTGTTACGATCAGATAAGGTCTGGCTTTTGACAGCAACATAAAATGTCTGGCTGTGAATAGCAACAGAAAATTTCTGATCGTGTTAAAATAAAAGTAATAAAATGAGTTCTAAAAAAAAATGGTGATAATTATGGAAATATGTCACATTTAGATGAGGTCTGGCATTTAACGGCACCAGAAAAACCTGGATGTTAAACGCTGTTACTGCCTAAAAAAAAAAAATATTATGTCTGCTCTCAATTGAGATCGATTGTGAGATAATACAATTGAGGTAGTAGCGAAGATGACGACAGTCACGTACCGACAGCCAAACAAATTGTGCCTAAATACGGAGTAAATGGTAGCACTCGGAATAAAGTATTGATTGGGGATAGACGTGTATTTTTTTTGGGGTAAAAACCAAATCAAATCTACCCCGTTTCTTACATATATATCGTGATCCAAAAGATATTTTGTTTTCGATTGAGTAGACAATCTGATCCCATCTGTTGAAGTGATTTTCCCTGAATCTATAGGTCTGAGATTTCTACATCATACAACAAAGAAAATCTTCACCAGCAGTAAATTGTTCAACAATATCATCAATTTTCGATTAACATAAAAAACTCAAACACATGCCAATTGTGTACCGATTATCATAAAGCTATAAAAAATCTAGCCTGAACCGACGTTAAACGGATGTACCTCCCTTGGTCAACTTGACCGAAGTTTTAACTGCTATATGTCCGTGAACATGTATGGTACAACGTTAATTTTCCATTGAACGAGGTTCAAAGTTGAACTTCGGTTAAGCCGGGTTGGTACAACTGGCCCTAAGTTACGTTTGAGGGCATCAGTGGAGTACAGCTTATTGAAAAAGACCTGCTTCCTGCGTTTAATGAGATGAAATCGTATGATTTAAGCCGTTCATGCAGAATGTATTTTGCGAGACCTTCATGCTGGGGGTCATTTCTTGAAAAAGGGTAAACTGAGAAAGTCGGCATGGTATTATTACCTTTCGGGGAACCGCAATCTTTAACACCGATAGGAGATTCTCCCTACGGGACAGTATCAGAAGAAGTAGTTAACTTTGTAATGATACATTTAATGATATGAAGAGCCTAGGAACATATTTTGCAGAGAATTCAAAAAACCTTTTTCATAAACATCAAAACACGTTAAAATCTGCCAAAAATGTAATACAACACTGTATACTTCCTCGTTTTCAAGAATCGAACCCCCGGATAAAAAATACTCAAATTTAAAATGACGCGGGAAAAATATTTTCGGGATGCAATTAGGAAAGTACTTAAATGTTAATAGTACGACGAAAATAAGATCAATTTGCAGTAATTTGCTTGTTTTTGATCTTGAAATTTCGATTTTTCACTGATATATGACCAACTTCCATCGCTTCGAGCATTTTTGAGCGTGGCGTGCTGACAGTATGACGTGAAATAGCACATCCGTCAAACACTCCTTTCCAGCGCTCAAACAAAATAAAAATCGTAAATACTCCCACCCACAGAAGTTTTATTCGACTTCAACATTGACCCATCCTTATTGGAAATCCTTATGGTTCACTTTAACAAAAAGGAAAATAGTCCACTTACCCCTGCCCTCCTGCATCGTCGATCGGTAAGACGGGACAGTGGTGCCGCCAGCTGTGGTCGTTTTGCTTCCGGTTGACACACTATTCGCTGCGTCCACCGACTTTATAGATGACGTATTTGAAGTTTGGGTCGCCGCGACGGCTGCCTTGTGTGCGTCCTTGTGATGCTGCGCCACCTGAGCGTAACTCATGCGGGGCGGGTTGATGGAACCGCCCGTAGATGCCGCCACCGAATACGAGTCCTGCAAGAGAAAAAAATGCAAGATATCAAAGCACTTATTATGGCATGGGCGTAGGTAGTTGGCAAATAAGTTCAGCGAGTGATGACTCAGAAACTAGCAACACACAGAATTTGAAGATGAAACGAGATTTTTAAAAAGAGAAACCCTGAAAAATAAATCATGACGGCATAAAGGAAATCAAAGAAACTGTAATGTTGGTGCTGAAACCCACTTCTGAAGATTATTTAGGGTGTTTCCAGATGTGGCAACAAAGTCGAAATCACTGCCTAAAGTTAAGGGGCGGCTATTGTAAAGACCAATGATAAAATGTCGCCTAAGACTTTTTTTTATTGGCAACTTCCCGGATCGTAATTCACATGCCACATAAAACTAGCGTACAAAAAAAGTATCGTCAAGTAGGTTGACTTTTTATTTACATACAATGCTGTCATCAGTTTACTTCATTAACCACGCAGGCCTAAGGCTTAATTACCCTGAGGTTATAGGACACATGGAAGTTACCTAATAGCAAAAAGCAATCGAATGGATCAAGTCGGTCGAATAGGTCCATACAATTAGTCTTCAAGGGGAAATACGTGTGTGAAATATATCTAAAATTACAAGGGTTGGGAATGCATTAATATGCTAACGCCAAAAAATGTAGATGTTATGTATAAATGTTTTACTCCTCAATGAAATTTTTTAACTGAGAAAGATTATTTGAAACGTCAGATGTTTCAGCGATTATTTTTTTTTGTCCGTCGCTTTGCTGCCAGCGGATCAATTTTTAAAAGCTATGAAACTTTTTCGGCCCTGACAAGGTGTGAAAACTTTAAAATCTGAGCGATACTTTCTAATTTATAGTGCCAAGAATTAGCGCACACGCAGACAGAGGGATAGTCTGATGGAAATGGTTTTTCGTAATATATGTACGTGTCATGTAACATCCAAAAAAATAATATAGTAAACCGACCGTAATTGGACAAAGGTTCTGCAGGGCGACGTCGGATTATCCAGTTTGTCGGATTATAGAGCCCAAGACCCTCTATAAGTCCGGAATTTTTTTAATAAGAGTACCTTGTAATCCGACAAATTACAAATCAAAGAATCTATTTGAACTGCAAATCATACTACATAATTATGTATAATTATAATATGTACGTGAAATTTAGTAAATTAAAGATCACAATGGAGAGTAGATATTTTATTATAAAAATAACATCATCAAAATTTTAAATTTTATAAATAGCAAATCGACCTACACCCTACCGTAATCACTTGCTAAACTGCTGAGGGATTTATTATGATTTAGGCCATCCAAAATATCCCTTTATTCTATGTCAAGAGTTTTGTGCTTGTAAAGACATTACTAGATAAGTATATGTAACACACAATGAATAAACAATAAACAACATTTACCGCTCGCTAGACCCATATTACATGTCTACAGTAAAATTCAAACTGAAACAATGCGCATCGAGCACAATAGTGGTGGCGCGTACAAGTTGCAACCTGCTCAATAACGCATTATACATGTAAGTGAAGATTCGCCGAAATTTTTGTTACTGGGGTGCTAGATTACAGGATTGCCGATTACCGAGGATCCACTGTATCTCATTTTCGAAATTTTTCGCGATTCAATACTTCTTTGCCAATCGGCATTGGGAAGTAAAAAAAATCAACTTACCTTTCCGCTAAGTGGTGGCGACGGAAGCCCACCGGCCAGCGCGGCCGCCTCCATTGTCGACGGGTACACCTGGAGCGGTACCGCTCCTTTGGAGGCGGCCGCCGATTTGGGCGTCGTCGTCATGGCAACCGGCGCTATCGACGTCGTCGTCATTGTAGCGGCATTCGTGGTGGTGGGGCAGGTTGCGGAAGCGCCGCCTCCGCTGCCTGCGGAACATTCGGAACCGCCGTCGCCGCCCCCTTGGCCGTTCAGCAGCGCGTCGTCCGTTTTCGTCGATTTGTCCGCCATCGTGCACTTCATCGACAACACTGGGATTATTCTGGGAGAGGTAGAGTAGAGTTAGGAGTGGCTTCTAATATACAGCGTCCAGAATTGACTATATTAGCACCAACGCTTCACAGAGAGTGTAAACGGCAACACTGGCATGATCCATATTGCCGATACCATAAGCGACTCAATTTTATATCCACGGCTTATAAAATCAGCTATTTCTGAGCAGCCAGTATCCTGCCAGTGTTACCATTTATACTACATATATATATACATGGTGGTCAATGTAATGTAACTGAACGACTTAAAAAATTAAAGTCAGGTGACACGCTGCAGGTGTCTACGGCAAACGTTACCGCGATATGATGTGAAACTTGTGGCTCCTAAAATTCGACAATTTAAAATGTATAAACTTGACAACGCGTCACACAAATAAAAAAATAATGGATGTCTTACAAGGGCAATTGATCTCCCTATTAGACGATATCATCTGGCCACTTATATCACCAGATTTAACGACCCCATTTTCAAAGCACAATAGAGCAGACAACAATACTTGAGTAGCTAGTCACAACTTAGGAAAAAGTGATGGAAAACGTAATCAAGGGGGCTCAACTATGTACAGTAGAGACGGGAATTTGTGATATAATTTTTGATAATTCGTTTAGGAAGAGAAGTAATACAGTATTCAAAAATAGTAGTAACAAAAAGTAATATTCACTTTTCGGGTGAGCTAGGCGGTGTAAGCGTAACTGGCATATTGTTGTCTAGTTGAACATCACTACTATCCGTGGAGGCGTCTTTGCAGTCTTTCTGCCTAGAAGAAGACTGAGCAAAGGCTGGCTGCTGTTGCTGCATTTGGTGCGGCGATACAGTCCTAGGAGAGTCATCACAGCCGACACTACTTGATTCCTAAAAAAATAAACATAATGTCAGAACAAGTTTTACCTTGGTAATATTAGAAAGACTAGAAACAATATATGGTGTTCCAGAACCTTTTAGAAAAGTTGAAGGTGCGACGCAAATTGAAAGGCACATTCATCACTTTAAACTACGGAAAAATGCATACATAAAGTCTGGTAATACTCGTTTCCATAATACGAGATAATAAAACTTATCAGTATTTGACAGATCACTTTATATTTCTCAAAAACAGAATGTTACATTGGCGAGTACAAAATTGTGTCCTAAAGCACTTACATGAGTGGCGATCATGTCAGCAAGTATCTATGTTTAGCGAACGCCACTATTTTTTTTGCAAAAAATAGCATCAGTATTAGCCAGACTGATTCTACTTAAAAAATACCTCTGTCAATTTCTTCATTGCAAAAAAGCATAGTAATCGAGCTGGCGCATTTTTCTAAAAGTCCAAGAAACACTTTTCCAGCAGAATCGAGCTTTGAGAAAACGGTAGTTATTTAACCAGTGGCGTTCAATTTTTCGCTAAACGGAAAAGATGAATAGGCAATCAATACCCTGTATAATGGGGTTGAAAAGTTTCCAAATCCATGTTTGTATTAACTGTTTTTGATTTGGTGTACTGAATCTGCCCTTAAATTTTATAGACAACATTCTGGATCATCGTATATAATGCTGTAATGAAGTCCAGTTTCCACTAATTCCAAGTTGTCAGCCTCTCACCTTTCTCTCTCTCCGGTAGGATATAAGAAGGAAGTGCGTATAGGATAACAAGAAATATTTGTGTGTATATCAAATCCAAATGTATCTGTGAGCTTACTTACACAAGCCCGATCTTGATGACAAGCCCATTCTTGAAAACGAAGGAGAAGAATAAGCGATAGAGAGAAAGCTTTTGCGACAGTTTTTGATATCTGTTTTAACGTTTCTCAAATTAGTTTCTCAATGCATCAATTTCCGGCAAAATAATATGCCTATGTTCTTCGTATCATGAAATGCTTAATCGCAATTCGCTAATTTTGTGTTTAGAGATGATACTGAAGACAAGTGAGACTTCTGCAATGTTCTCTTGCTATTTATAAAAAAAGACTAAAGAGCGACTGTTTATCCATCTTAAAGCATACACTCCCTCAAAAGTAATAGAAACCACACCCACTTTCTTAGTCTTCTACACCATCACTTTCAAGAATTGATTTCTTGGGGGCCTTTCTGCTGTTGACAACAATACTGAGTGTTGATGATAACCAATCTGCCTATCAACCATTACCTTAAGCAAATTAATATTTGTACCAATCACTCACTTTACTACTGTTATAATTTCCGTTGCTGCCTATCGTCGACGTCGTGGAGGCGGTATTCGTTGCAGTGGCCACTGCCGAATTGTTTTTGTTCCTGACGGTGCCTTTGACGACGTCGGCCAGTCTGTTTTCTCCCCATCCACCGCCGCCCCCGTGCGAGTGGTCAGTCGTGTTGCCGGAGGCGGCCACCGTCGCCGGTTGGCCGGAGTCTATGTGGTTTGTCACAGGGTGATGGTGTTGCTGGTGGGTGTGCTGCTGTTGGTGATTGTGGTGGTGATGATGGTGGTGTTTGGACGGCTGGTGATGGTTCGCATCCAAGCCTGGAATAAGTACAATTTGAGATGTAGCACGTGAAATTGCGATTTCAAAGTTAGAATTTACGATTAAAATCCGCCGTTTGGATACTCTAAAATTTGAATATGCTCAGCGTCGATAACACTGCGAAGACGGAAATAACAACAGTTCATAGGCCAAATTCCACCAAGCCAACTGGACTTCTGAGACTGGGTAAAAACAAAAAGTTATTCGCAACGGACTGTGCTTTAATTTACCGCACCAGTGACGACGTTCCTGTTTATGACAAGATATTTCAGGTTATGTTCAACTATGTTGGAACTGCAAGTTCATTTTTGCGGGACAACTCAAACAGTTAGTTCATATTCTTTTCAAATAAATTGTATTGTTTCAACTTTAGCATAAATTATGAAATCATTTGAAATGAAAGTAAAAACATAAATATAGCATGGCTCTCTATTGTGATACAGGGCGATTGAAAATCAATGCTATTGTTCTAGAGTGAAAATAGACGAATAAGCAACACGCAGATTCCTATAAACATCGATTCCATAAAGGATGTAATTTCTGCTCTACAGATATTGTGACTGACTTTGTGAATCAGTTTGTGTAGGCCAATCAAATTCCTAAATGTTAGGGAGTATCCATTTATGTACAATCTATAGGAGATATGCCATAATGTCCATGACCACGAGGTCAGGAAAATTTTTGTACCGATCAAATCTATTAAACTGACACACATTTGTGATAATCTGGAAATATTCCGCTCATTGATTCATCGTTAATTTGTGTGTTCAAATGATTTGTTGTGGACACGTTTTACAGGTTTGTATCTGGTAAACACGCAGGATCTAATTCAAGACGTCAATGCTACTGACGTAAAGAGATCATAAAACTGATTCCAGACCTAAGTCAATATGACTCAAATATGTCAACCTTGACTCTGCCTCCTGACGCCGTCTTGTATAGCCAATTAGATTCTAATACCACCTCTCTAGCTAGATGATGTTCCTGAGATTCACACAAAACTGAATTAACCCACTGTAAAAACTGGCACACGGCTGTCAGAAACTGATTATTGGCAATAACGTATTAAAAAAATATGTATAAATATTATTATTATACATACCTGGTAAAGGCGGGAACGCCTCATCGACGAGATCAAACTGCGCCTGCTGCCTGCCACCCCCACCACCGCTCGTACTGTTACCGCCACTCATTTGCGCATCACCGCTGCTTCCACCGCCGCCCCCGCCTCGCTGCAACTGACTAGAGGCGACCGCCCCCGCTCCTGCAGCGACACCACTAGAGGCACCACCCTGCATGCATGCGGAGGCGGCGGCGGCCTGCGACGTCATCGTGCCGCCCACGGTGTTTTCGTCGTCACGCTTTTTCCTGCGGTGTCGTGGCGGCACCGCCTCTTTCATCATCGCTGAAGCCGGGGGCGGTTGGGTAGCCACCGCCCCCGCCGGGATGTACCTGTACATGTCGACCATTGAGCCGTCCGCTACTGCGGTTGCGTGGATTACTGGTAGGCCTGAGATAAAAATGAAAGTAGAGTATTATGATCTAAGACAGTATCAAAGTGGGCGGCAGCACCCCCTGTGGGCGCTGGGAACCTACGGAGGTCCGGTAACGAGCCTAAAGGAAATTGAGGGGGCTGGGAACTAATTTGGGCGTGATGCAATGACTAAGACTCATATGACACACCAGGTATATTTAAAGGAAAGTAGTTTTTGGGGTGCTAGAAAATTATTGATTCCCAAAGTGAGAAGTAGGCGAAATGAGTTTGATGTATACCCTATTTAACGAGTATCCATCATGGTAGAATGACAGCTGGTTATCTAGTAATATTTCAAAATTCCCCAGATCGGCAAAGGACACATAATTCTGACGGATCTGCCAATGCCAGGTAGGCAGAGCCATATTTTGTTTTGGTTTTTTGTACACTACAGATTCATTTTGTATTTGTTAAAAGCTCTTTTATTTAGAAAAGTTGATTTGCATACAAAAAACAAAACGTTACATATAATTTTTTGCTAGATTTACACCTGAATCATTATAGCCAATGTTGCAGAATAACACAAAAATGTCACTTGCTGGTCAGCTGTTCACCTCAGTAGACATCAAAGCGTGATGGATACTTGTGAAATAGGGTATAGGAGCACTTAAGGTTAAACTGTTTATAAACAAGAATTCCGCAACGTTGACGCTAGACTTGAAGAAGTTTTAACTTTCTGCCATTATCTTTCCCGATTCAACCAATGGACGGGAACATGCAAATCACGTGTTTGTTGTGACATCAGCTGGTTTGACGTGACATATGTTTTGTTTTGCTCGGCGTAGCTTGCTTTGAGATTGTTTGCTAGATATTATTTAGTTTATTTAAATAATACATAATATGAATTGTCATCAGATGTGTGTTACAAGTTTGGTCTTCAAATTTCTGAAAAACCCTTAAGTACCACCACGTTTTGTATCCCAAGTTTCTCTGCCAAAATATTTATGGCGCGCTGCGCGCGTTCTGCTGATCTTCGACCGGTAGGTGATTTATCGATCCACAAAAATTCCATCAATTTATCTGTTACCACTGCAGAGTTAGGCACATGTAGGGTCAAATTTGACCCGTTTTTGGTAAAAATGTTTCTAGTGCGAGTAATTTGAAATGGCGGGGTGTAGAGGCAATACACGCGCTCTGACACAGAAAGAACTTGAAGCGGATGGACAAAAAATTATTTCTAACCACTTTAGGTCAAGAACTTATTAAGGACCATTTGACTCCTACAGCTCAGCATGTTTACCGAGAGAACTTCGTAGTGTCATTTTTAAAGTTTCCGGACTTCAGGAACCAGTGGAGGGGAAGGTGTAAAATATGGTCATATTCTAAAAATCAACAGAAAGAAAGCTCATCGTGCGATAAATGTCAATAATTTATTTACAAGAATCATGCCCGCACTAGGACGTTATGCATAAGTTGTGTTGAAAAGTAAGGTCAAAAACATGCTTGTCATTTTTTAGATACGAAATCTAAATCATTTTATTTTATTTTAGGTAGCAGCTGTGATACCTAAAATTCACCACAGAATACAAGAAAACTGAAAATTTTTATAATTTTTCTTATAATTTTAGAAAGTCTTTGTTAATTGTTAATTTCACTGGATACCGAAGTTTTTTTTAATAAAGTTATAACTAACCATATTCGTTTTATTTTATAAAATTGTAAAACAGTTGAAAACAAAATAACACAAAAACAAGGTACAAAATTAGTTTTTTCATGTAAAAAAAAAACAGTGGGGTCAAATTTGAAATTTGACCCTGCCATGGTATAAATGTTACTGTTTTTGACCATGGAAGTTAAGGGTTAAGTCGTGCGTCACGTCACGTTAACAAGTTTATACAGTGATGTTATCAGCAAGCGGCAGCGTTTTGGTAACGGTGAACTAATAATGAGTGATAACCAATGATGTTACTTACCGATAGGTGCGCCGCCAGCGGCGATATGAACCTCATGGTGCAATTCGTTGATACTGACGGCTGCTGGTCCGGCTACGGAATGAGCTTTCGGTATGGCGCCATCTACCATGGACGATTTGTTGCCGTGTAATTTGCCACCGTTACCAGATTGAGGTGACAGAGGCCGAGATGACTGTTGGGACGTTGACGGCCGGTTGCTGCCTTGCGAGGAGCCCTAATTGCAAACACACAGAATTTAATGAATGTTTTATATCTTTAAGATGCCTTCGTAATTGAAAATCTCACTGTCAAAAGACGTTATCAACAATTTTTGTGAAATAATTACCGTTGAATACACCACAATCCATTTCCTAAAAAAAGTATCTCATTCGTAATGCTTGATTCAGGTATTGATCTACGTAATCCACCTGAAGATAGCTAATGTGATAATACTTTCGCGCAACCTCAATTACGAGTAAGTCATACGCGTCATCTGACCCAAACTACGGTTCTTGTTCAGCAGCAACCCTACATAATCCTAAAACTCAGAAAGGAAACTTTTACACACACCTGCGTCATCTATTAGCTGCACTATTAATAACTTTAAACAAAGCTGTGAAAATTGCAAAAGCCGTCTATCGGTTATCGGTTAGATATGCAGTGTTTTCGAATAATTGTCAAATGCTAGTTGCCAGTAATTCACGGACCGTAACCAAGGGGAGATCAAGGTGGCTCTACAGCCTAATAAAGTGATGATCAGGACTTAATTGGTGCATTTAAGTACTTTAAATCAGATTGCGGACGGCGAAAAATAAGCATTGAAACTAAATAAATATCCGAAAAAATACTGAGTAATAATGAGTACGTGGATACGGTGGTGATACCCTACTGCCCCCCCCTTTATCTGCCTATGCCAGTGCGAGGGACGGATCTAAGATGAACCATATGATGCACAGTGTATCGGGTCCTTCCCACCTTTCAACTATATGTTACACCAGGAGTCCCATGCAAACTTTGTGCTTCGGCACACAAAGGCAATTAAAAAGCATATGGCAATGACTAATTCTTCTTTTAGAGACTCAAACAATGCGGCGCCAAAAACCACATATGCTTCAGTTACAAAAAATAATCCCATTACGCCTCAAGAAATCAATAGTTCTAATCTTCCATCTCAATCATCAAACACTCAAACATCAATAAATATTCCAAATGCGAATTCGCACTTTACACAAAGGTTGTCTAAACCTTTGAAACGGAACTCGCCTTCCTCGCCAGATTTGACAGAAGAAGCTAGGAGACAAATTGTGAGTCAAATAAACACTCCACAGGTACCCGGGGGTATCACTAATAACCCCAGTTACTGTGTACATGAATTTAATACGAGAGATGAGACGTTCATCCAACATGTTTCAGAATTGGTTATATTTGTTCTTACAAATTTTAGAGAAACAAACATCAACAGCTTGAATAAATCAACTATAACTAATCTCGTAAGAGAAAGATTAAATATAGACAAATGAGTTTAAGAATTAAGAAAATTACAGTATATTTTTAATCATTTTACACTTTTACCAAGGTGTTCGTACGTTATGAAAAACATAAAATAGAATCTATACAATACATTTAGAAACCACAATGAATTTTTTGAGGATATGTCAATGGAATTCTAGATCGGCTATAGCAAATAAAGGTAATTTGGAACACTTTTACAAGACCAAAATGTGGACATCGCACTTTTGTCTGAAATCTGGTTTAAAATGAATACATATGTAAAATTTAAAGGTTATAACGTTATCCGTCAAGACCGGTCAGATGGCAAAGGAGGAGTGATGAGAAATAGTTTAAAATATTCTCAAATATCATCAGTTGCTTGTAAGAAAATAATGAAAGTATGTTCTACAGTAAAGTTTCAAGGAATCTCAGATATTACATTCGTATCAGTATATATTAAACCACAAACCAAAATCACTAAACAGGCATGGATACAATTTTTTAGTTCCTTACACAGTCCATGTATTATAGGAGGTGATTTTAATGCACATCACACTTCATGGGGTTGTGCTCAGGATGACGTATTTGGGAAAATCCTGATTGAAGCTCTAGATGACAGTAATCTCAGTTTTATTAAGAATGGAGATCCAACTTATGTAAAATATCAATCAAAATCAGCAATAGATCTTACATTATGTTCACCTCAAATTCATCATCAGCTAGAATGGCGAACCTTGCCAGACCCATGTGGTTCAGATCATTTGCCTATACTTATCAATTGTAATTTTACTCCAGAAAAATTGTCATTTGCATCAAATAGAAAATGGAACATAAACAAAGCTTGCTGGAATAAGTTCTGTTTCGAGAGTATAAATAGATCTTATGTAGAACCTGTTATAGATTACAGCACTTTCATCAAAAATGTTAACCAGTCAGCTGAAGCTTCTATTCCGAAATATGAAAACAATAATAATGTCAAAGGAAAACCATGGTGGACCAATGAATGTAATATAGCAGTAGAAAAACGTAAGGATAGTTTTAGACTATATCAGACAAACCCAAACCTCGAAAACTTACTTAATTTTAAAAAATTGACGCAAAGGCCAAACAAATATTCAAAAGGTTAAAAGAGAAAGTTGGCGTCACTATTGTTCATCTTTAAATAGTAACACCCCACTTAAACAAATTTGGAAGCAAGTTAACTTGTATAAAAATAGGCGACAGAGTAATTATCATGTTATAGAAGCTTCAGCAGAGTGGGTACAGGAATTTCATTGCAAGTTGGCCCCAAAGTATGTAAGTAACAACATCCAAAGAAGAATCTCAACGTGGACTAACCATGAACTGATGCAACCTTTTACCTTGATAGAATTACAGAGAGTCTTCAAACAGAACAACAATACATCTCAGGGAAAGGACCAAATTCATTATTCGATGTTATACCAACTACCTACAAAAACGAAACAATCGTTATTGGATATTTTCAATCAAATGTATTGTGGGAATGCTGAAATAGCGAAAGATTGGTACGATTATATAATTATTCCAATTCTGAAACCTGGAAAACCAGAACATCATCAAGATTCATATCGTCCCATTGCACTAGCTTCATGCTTTTTGAAAACTTACGAAAGACTCATAAAGAACAGGTTGGAATTCTACTTGGAGAAAAACCAATTGCTCCCAAGCTAGCAATATGGATTTCGAAAAGGACGGTCAACTCAAGACTTACTGATAAAGTTAACAACTGATATCCAAATTGGATTTTCGAATAACACGCATACTTCTGTAATATTTTTAGACGTTATGGGAGCTTATGATAATGTAGACTTGAATATACTATACAGTAAAATTATAAATATTGGTCTTCCAAAAGAACTTGCCAACCATTTGTTATTACTGTATAGCAATAGAAACATTTTCATCAGAGCCTCTGAGCAGACTATTGGACCACGATCAACATCTAAACGACTAGCACAAGGGAGTATATTGAGTCCCATCTTGTATATAATATATTCCTATGACTTTGAAAGAGCTTTTAATTCAAGAGATGCTAAAATATATCAGTTTGCAGATGACTATGCCATTAGTATCCAGAACAAACATTTATCTCAATCTATGGAACTTCTAGAAACAGCGACATCCATTGCACACGAATGGTTTGAGAATAATGGATCTTCCATTGCCTACTCAAAATCTTGTGTATGTACGTTTATCAGATCTCGCCCTAGCCCTTCAAATATCATCACTCTGGCTGGGCAGAATATATCTTATAAAACTTCTGTCAAATATCTAGGAGTTATCCTAGATAAAAAACTTAACTGGAAAGAACATATTACATACATTTTAAAGAGAAGTCAGAATGCTTTTAACATTCTGAAGTCTTTTTCACATCGGAAATGGAGAGCAGATCCAGCAGTTTGCTTAACCTTTTACAGGACCTTAGTTCGATCAATCTTGGACTACGGATCAATACTTTATGGAAATGCATCTAGAATTCATCTTCAAAAAATAGAACAGATCAAAAATAAGTGCCTTAGGCTATGTATCGGATATTTGAATAGCACTCCCATCAATGTCATGGAGGTCGAATGTGTCGAACCTCCTCTTCAATTGAGACGACAAATGTTGAGCGATAAAGCCCTGGTTAGCAGGGGATTCATTAACGAGATCCACCAATTGTTTATTCATGGATTAACAGCGAAATACTGGCAACACAAAAGGCTTCCTCTGATCATAGAGAGTTATGAGTGGCTTCTTCCTACCATCAAGAAGGTACACTCTAATCAAATCAACCCATGTTTCATACCTGAATATTCGGGATATAACTCTCCACCCGAAGTTATCTTTACGAAATATTCCGAACTAGATTTATCAACACCTTGCAAATTCCGGCATGATATTCGAACACGATGGAGTGGATGGGAATATATCTTCACGGATGGTTCGAAAAAAAACAATTTAGCGGGATGTTCATTTTATCACAGCAACAATTCGTATCACCAAGAATTCAAGTTGCCACCTGAATGTTCGGTATACACAGCAGAACTGGTTGCGATCAACCAAGCTATTGAATACTGTTTCCAATTCCATGGAAATAATTTTGTTATTTTTACCGACTGTAGAAGTGCTGTGACAACATTGGAGAATTGTCACCCCACTGCAGATCTTAATCATCTAATTGCGAACATCATCAAGCGCATTCAGGAGCTGAATAGAATCGACAAAACTATAAACATAGTCTGGATCAAAGGCCACTCAGGTATAAAAGAAAACCAGATGGTAGATAATTTTGCAAAAAGAGCTACAACTAGGCGATTACGTTCCGGGCATGGAGATTCCTTTTAATGACGCACATTTTCTGATCAGACAACGACTAAAGAATAAATGGAATAACCATTACAAAATCAGTCCAACAGGAAGTTACCTGAAACGTATACAAGAGACTCTTCGAAGCAAACCTTGGTTTCAAGGAATTACCAATCGTCCTTACATTAGAACCGTGATCAGAATAAGAAGTGGTCATGTCCTAACGCCCCATCATAAATCAAGAATTGGATACGGAGATGATCCACTTTGCAGTTGTGGAAATATAGGAACATTGCAGCACTTAATATTAGAATGTACAAGTTCTAACAACGAAAATTCTGAATTGTATAAAATTTTAGCGAATCACCTTCCTTTGCCTCTAAATTTAGAATCAATTCTCAGTTCTGAGAACCAGCAAGTTTACGAACTTTTATACAAGCATTGTCGGAAAGTAGGCCTAACATTATAAAATGTAAATTACAGTAAGTTTGTTTGAAAAAATGAAAAAAAGAAAATATTGAAAAAAAAAGCAGATCAGTAAAAAAAAACAATCTTATAAACAAAATAGAGAAAAGGAAAAAATAAGTAAAAAGTATTGGTTAAAAAAAAAAAAAAAAAAAAAAAAAACAAGAGAAATATGTGTTTGCATACTCTATGTAAGTATAATAGAAATAATATACAATAGTAATATTAATATTAAGTAATGGATGTTCTATTTTCTATTAAAGCATAGCATTATACTGAACATAAGGATCTGGCCAGTTGGTCATCGACCAGTGCCAATAACAGAACAAAAAAAAAAAGAAAAAAAAATCCTAGGAAGAATTACGGGGGGAGGTTGGTTGACGGTTGACATTTCCTTGGCAGAATAGTATCTTGTTCAAGGATAAAAGTATATTTTCATTGGTTCTAAGGAAATTATTCTCATTCCATTTGACAAACATCACTGTTAGTGGAACTTGGTAATCTTCTGATGAAATAAGTGAATCGATGATTGAGGAAATAAAATTGAGATAGGAGGAATAATATTCTTAAATATCTTGTCGTAGTGATATTCCTATTTCATAAAATTGTAAATCTCGTCCTTGTGACACTAAACTCCCAAATTATCCTATTAAAAAGCGAAAACTTAAAAGTAATCTAGCAGTTCCCACTCACCTGCTCCTGCCCCTGCATGTTCGGCCCGCCCCTGGACTGCTTTCTCGGCCTATTTTGCCCTCCCTGCCCACCACCCCCGCCTAGTCTACCGCCCCCTCCTCCACCACCTCCGCCGTAGGTTTGCGAGGGATGCTTGAAGCCCTGAGGTGCCAATCCGTTCACCTGGAACACGCTGCTGATGTCGAAATAACCTGTTGCGCTAGGAGGCCACGCCACTGACGCAAAGAACTGCTGTTGAGCGTACGACGGCTGTGGAAGAAAATAACATTCAAATGAGGGGTAATATGCAAAGGTAGATGTATATATATGGCGCTAATTATGTTTGAGGTCATGTCTAAGGATATAAACAGACAAAAATGTCAATCAGGTGTTCATGTCAATGGATATCAAAGCGTGATGAAGACATGAAAAATAGATTATTTTTCTATCAAATCTGTCTTTTTCCATCTATAGGTCTTTTCAAGTTTTTTGGCGAGTCACAGTCAAACTACATGCATTACTTTCATACACCCATCTCCCTCACACATACTTAAGCAACTGGCATCTATGCACGGACGTATGTTTGTGTGAACTTAAAAGACATTTTTTAGTTTTGCCTTACCGCCTTGAAAATTCTGCCGACAACGATGAGTTTCGCACAATTATGTTTGTCACAGTATGACAACTTTTTTGTTATGGGCGCGTGATTTGTTTTACCCATATTCATCTTCGATATAAAAAGCAACTACAATCTCGACATGTATTAGAAATATTCTAAGAAGGTAAATGAAAACAACGGTCTTCTATCACCCAATTCATGTGTTTGTGCGAGTAGCAGTTCCGTTACTCATCGGCTTGCGCGGTGTGCAATTTTCTAAGGTGAGTTAGCTACGCACATGGTACCATTGGTCAATCTGTTTACTTATTTTATATGGCATTATGACGTAACAGCAAAAAACTGTAAGGCTAAATTATAACAAGTATAGATTAGAAGAAAAGAACACGGCAACAACTAATAGACATATAGAAAAAAATAGAGTCCAGTGGGTTGACTCTGTACTTCCCCCGCAACAATATCATCAGTTCATAAACGATTATGTTCGCATAAGTTAACCCTTCTGAGAAAAAAGTTAACTACAAACATGAATAAAAAAACATTAAATGACCCTCCTCCCACCAAAGAAAAATCTCTGCGCGCGCACATGATCCTTGACTAATCCCGCGTGGATGATACTGCCTTTTACAGCACACACCCCACAGAAGCATGGAAGCGACTACCGACTGTGACGCTAGATCATCAGCCGGCCCACGTAGCACGTATCGAAATGCTACTGTTGGAGATATTAGTTTCAAAGGTGAATTTTACGGGGACACGGACTGGAGGAATATAAATATACCATCGTGAAAAAAATTAGAAATACCATCCCCACCACCTGCAATCATAATCCCCAACTTTTAACCCTTACAAATGATCAGGAGCCTTTGAAATGCAAAAAAAGTTTGAGCGTTTTCTCTCGTTTTTGGGCTTTTTCTCCGCAGCCACTGGCCCGATTTTCAAAAACTACAAAGCTTTGCCATAGTGGTAATCTTATGTAAAAATTTCATCTAAATCCGAGTGGTACTTTCCAAGTTATAGACGGACCAAGGATTAGCGAACAGGGAAACAGACGGACGAAAATAAGTGACATGGTTTTTCGTGATGCACATGTCATATAACACCTGAAAAACACAATATCTTATTTTCGAAATTTTTCGATTACAACACTTCGAAGATAGTAGGCGTGGGAAGTGAAAACGTTACTTACGTATAGAACTTGATTGTAAGCAGCCACGGGTTGCCCTGGAGTGCCATTAGCATAGATAAACCTTTGCTGTCCGGGTGGGAAGGCGGCAGGATCGAACACCGCCGTCGGAGGCGGCACTTGCGGCTGAGGTTGGGCGGCAACCGCTGCAGCTGCAACCGCCGCAGCTTGGGCGGCAGCTGCCGTTGGCGGGGGAGGGCCCCCTGGGGGTCCCGGCGGCGGTGTCACGCGGAAGCCGTTCTTTGCAGCGACAGCCATCGACGCAGGCATAGGCAACCTGAAATGAGACATAAACAGTGACAGCTTCGACCTTATACAGAGAAATCCAAATATCACTGACGAGGTAATGTGTACGAGAGAGAAGCATGAGAAACGCGTAATACGTATGTTAGAAAGAGTGCGCCGAACGCGACAAGCCGCTGCTGAGTCCGTGGCCTCGAAGCTCGGGTTGCTAGACAACGTGGTGATTGTATCTCAAACGTATTTCACGTTTCTCGTGCGTCTCTCTGATACACATTACGTCAGTGATATATGAATTTCTCTGTACAGCAGATACTCATAAATTTTCAATGAAAATCAACAAAATACAAGGCAGATATTTATAAAAGCAATGATTACATTCACTAGCACTTAGCAGCCTAGCACTTGGAGTATGCTTTGCATCTATCTTTTGTTTATACACATTCCTAGATGTTTCGAGTAATGTGAAATGTAGGAACATGCTCTGTCTATATTCAGTATTTCTTGAAAAAAAAAAATTTTTTTGGCGACGGAAAATTAATCTTACTCTAAAGGTGCTAATGTAGCGAATCACGTGACGTGTATTTAAAATTCGGTTTGTGTAGTAGTCATTGTCGTTATGCCAAAGTTTTCAACATCACCTTTGTTTCTCACAGAGGTCTACTAAATTGCAAAAATTATTTTTTTTGTCAAACAGATATTTTGACAAAAATAGTGAATGAACTAACCTGTTCATTGGTTTGGCCTTGATCCGGGCCATAATAGGCCTGCCTTGGAATTCGCGCACCTCCTCCCTGAGATACCTGTACGCACGTTGTGCGTCCTCGTCCGATTCGAAAGTTACGTACCATGAACTGTTGTGTGCGAACTCGCACGAGATCATGCGAGGACAGTTCTCGCCTGAGAATAAATTCTGGAATAAAAATTCATCAAATAAACTTTCATACTCCATACAGAAAAAAGGCGATCTGGCAGATGCAATAGTTACTGGTAGAAAATATCTGCAGGAGTCAATATTTAAGCATTTTTACGCCACTGCTGTAGCCTGAGACTGGAAAATTTGTCTGTCTATTGGTCATGGTGTGGTTACTACATGTATATAATTTTTAAGCAATGTCTTAAACCTGTCTGAAAATATATTTTTTCCGTTTCGAAATTATAGGTTCAACACCATGTACCTCGATATGGGAGCTTCTTAGTACCCATGTTTATATGACTCTTTGTGGAATTTTTCAATCTATGCTCTTCCCTGGAAATATTACCACTGTTTTCGAAGAAAAAACAATTATATACGGTGTACCTCAAGATGCAGTTTTGGGTCCCATGTTATTTAGTTTATAGGTGAACAGCTTACTAGATTTACAAAAAGAGGGAACTGCCGTTTGTTTCACTGATGACACTGCTATTCTTTCTTCAAATGAATTGTTGTGATATAATGTTAAAGAGAAGGAAGAAAATGAGTTCATTATAATTTCTGGTTCGTTGAACCATAAACGCCTCACTATCAATTACCAAAAAATGATTTTTATGCCTGTTCCCAATGACAATAGGATTACTGATTATACTTAGATAAAAAAATCGCGAAATTATTCAAATACAAGTCATCTGGGCGAACGTTTGGATTCGCACATGAAATGGATTTACCGTTTTGATCATATCAGCTTGAATTTGATAATTCATTCAAAATGAAATATCTAAGTATCTCGGTAAAAAACATGAAAATTATTTACTAAGCCCGGGGAGTCTAGATTGCGATATGGTTTATAAGCTTTGGGGTGGAGCTCTAACCATTCATTTAGAGAAAGTTTTTAAAAATAATGTATAACTGACTTTATCTGCCAATCAGCTGTATAGATATGCAGAAACTCTTAATCTTCAGCAGTTGTTTTTGTTCAGTATATTGGCATATCACTTTAAAAATAAACATACGTTAGTACCGATACAATATACTAGGAACAAAATTAATAAAATAAGCAGCACTCCTTCGTCTACGAAACAAATAACTTTCTACCTGATGAAATAAAGAAAAATAGTTACCTTATCAAAATTTAAAAAAGATGTAAAACATTTTTAAATGGAAAGGGACAAGATTGTTCTTGATTGGACTTGTGTCCACAGAATCATACAAAATAGGTGAAATTCACATTTAATGTGCGATGTTGAAAATTAAAAAAGTTAGTTACCAACTTTATCAAAGAATATAAATGTTCAACTCATCTATTGTTACGTTTTTTTTTATAAAGTTTATTACTATTGTTTCTTTATCTTTGGTACGAGGGATGTCTTTTAAGTTTTGTATATAGAAACATAGTAGGCCGCGCGGATCGAACGACAGTACTGAATCTTAACCTCACTCTTTAGTAAACCTAAATTCAAAGTTTCACAACAATACGTGCAGTGTTCTCACTACAGTGAATTTTTAAGTCTCACCAAGTCATTAGAAAAGTGGAACTCAACCGAGAACATGTTCGCGCCATAATTTATTACAACTTTCAGAGACAATTATCGCAACAAGAATGCCTTGCTGAGTTACTGTCTGTTTTCGGCAACTAAGCGCCACATCAGTCGACAATTTCCCGTTGGTATGGAGAATTCAAACGTGGACGAGTGAGTCTTAGCGACGATCCCAGGGTGGGTGCACCAAAAACGGCAATCACCCAGGAAAACGTCGATGCTGTGCGCAAACTCATCATTGAAGATAGACATGTGACATATCTCGAGATTGAGGCGTCCTTGAAGATCTCAAAGACCTCAATTCAAAAAAATTACATAAAGAATTAGGAGTAAGAAAATTAGTTTCTCGTTGGATACCCCACCTGTTGACTGAAGAGCAGAAAGCAGCCAGGGTTAATTGGTGTCAAAAAACGCTTGACCGTTTCAATTCCGGAAACTCAGAAAATGTGTACAGCATTGTTAGTGGTGATGAATCGTGGATTTACTGTTATGAACCAGAAAATAAACGACAGTCGGCTGTTTGGGTGTTCCAAGGTGAAGAAAAGCCAACAAACACCAGAAAACGTGGAATTATTGGACCATCCTCCATATAGTCCCGATCTAAGTCCTAACGATTTCTTTACTTTCCCGAAAATTAAAAACAGACTGCGTGGTCAAAGATTCCAGTCACCAGAAGAAACAGTTGACGCATTCAAAAATGCCGTTTTGCATCTGCCTGCAAACGAGTGGAATAAGTGCTTCGAAAATTGGTTCGAGCGCACACAGATGTGTATTAAGTCATTTAAAACTACCTACCGTGTTGTTTTATTTCCATATGCAAAACTTAAAAGGCATTCCTCGTATCATTTAAAAAAATATATAGATATATTAGCAAAGCAATAAACTGAGGTTGGGTAATACTTTTATATTTGTTTTTTTAGATGTACGTTTTTGAAGTTAAAAAAGAAATGTTCAACACCTTTTATATTTTAATAGCTTTTTCTATAGATATTCAAGGTCATATATTCTTTGTTAGTTTTTGCATTTGATGCATTCTATGTCATTGAAAGACGATAACTTGAAAAAATATTATTATTATTATTATTATTATTATGTTCGTAAAAATGTGCTAGCATGGCAATGATAATTTGAAAGTGTTCGACCTCAATATGTATGTTCCCCCATGTATAAGCATTTGCTTTCTGTGGTGTTGAATACGCTTATTGCAGGATACGCCTTTTTCTTTTGCTCCTAAATTGAATTTTTTTCATCAATAAATACTATTATTATTCTAACCTTGACATCCTCGATGGGTGTGTTGTCTGGTATCTCCCTAAGTATGACGATGCACCTTTTGTGATTGGGTCGCACCTTGATGCCCTCCTCGTCTACTTGGACATTCGGGGACTCACGCAGCACCTCGGTGATCAGCTTGATATCCTTGGTCAGCTTTTTCACCTGGTTGAAGTTAGCCACCGTCCATATCGGCACATACTGGTCGTTGTCCATTTGGGAGAGGAGGTATGTGTCGTTGGCTAAGTTTTCTCTGCGTATGGTGAAACAAAAGAAAAATATAATATCAATGACAAATGCTGTAGATGTACAGAGTGTCTTTCTTTTAGAGAGCATGTAGGCCATGTAACAATAAGAAAATTGTACGAGTAACACATACAACAAAGCCTCAAGATAACCTAGGTATCAAGTTTTGAAAATATTTGAATGGACGAGCCCAGCTCTGCATCGAACGTGAAGACTGAAAAGGTGCGTCAGTATACAAATCAGGCGCCGCGCAGTGTGTATGTTAACCTAACAAATCGGATTTGAAAAAATGGAAATTGGCATATTGCTATAGAAATATCGAATTTACCCTTTTGATGTAGTTTACAGTGAGTGTCTTCAAGATGCTTCTGATACCTCGCGAGTGTGTTCAGATTGCATTTCCAGATGTTTCTGATCCTAACCGGGTACGTTTGCTTACATCGAGAAAAGACAGTCGATGTGGACACAATAATGATTCAGATAACAACAAATGTCGCTTCAGGAAGAAGTGTGAAAACTTTTGAATTGCATGGTGACAACATCAAATAGTATTTACGAGCAGCATGTGACAGGTCAGTATTTAAACTTTCTATCTAAATGAATAGTTTGTTGTTACAAACTTAGTTATTTCCGCAAAAGAAAGTCCCAACTTTCAGGACAGAAATTTTACGTTGCAGCTACTTCAGATCTACCCAGTATCCAGAAGACTAAACGTTATACAAGGTCTGTTGCAAAGTAAATAGGACAAAGAAAAAATGAACAAACATTTTTTGTTTCGGAAAATCGAATTTATTGTATTCAAAATAGTCTCCTTCAGAGTTAACACAGCGATTTGCACGGACCAAAAGATTTTCGAATAATTTTAGCTCATTAACGGGAATGTCCTTCAAAATGGTTGTCGACGCCTTTTGCATAGCCTCCACGTGGGCATACTTCCGTCCTTTCATGGCCAAATGTAGTTTACCCAATAGAAAATAGTCACACGGTGCCATATCAGGAGAATATGGGAAGTGGTTTATGGTTAAAATGTAATTTTTTGTCAAAAAATCGGACAAAAGCGTCCATCCATGAGATGGTGCATTATCGTGCAACAAGCGCCAGCTTCCTTCTGCGCGATATTCTGGCCGAACACGACGAATACCCGACGCAAACGCCTCATAACACTAGGATAAAACACAGCATTAACCGTTTGGCCCGTTGGAATGAATTCTTTGTGAATAATTCCCTTCGAATCGTATAAATAAATCAAGATTTTCTTCACTTTAGACTTTTCCAAACGGATTTTTTTTCGGATTTGGCTCGCTTCGGTACTCCCATTCGGCACTCTGACGCTTGGTTTCGGGATCCTATTATATAGTTTTTCTTTTTTGGCCTCTTTAATGGCGAATGTTGAATTTGAAGCAATTTTTGGTCATCAGTGAGGTTGTGCGAACAAACCCTGAACACACCTTTTCCATGCCCAAATTCTTGGTCAAAATGCGATGGATTGAATCTTTGGAGATATTTAACTCCATTTTTATGTGTCTCAATGAAGATTTTGGATCATTTTTTATAAATTCACGCATTTTTCGACGGTTTCTAACAAATTTTGGCTAGCCAACATGTTCGTTGTCTTACCCTCTTTGAACCGTATAAACCACTCGTGGACTCGGCTACGAGATAAACAATCATCACCATACACTTGCATCAACATCTGATGCGTTTCGGTAAATGTTTTACCAAGCTGAACACAGAACTAAGGCCCGTATCGTCAGTCGTCCCGACAATTGTAGGGCGCCTTTATGGCCTCCTTGATTGTCATAGTTTTCTACTTCTCCGTGTCAGTGCTCTATTTTGAGGTGTCACAAACATCTATTTGCATCAAATTGTGCTTGCTTTTGAGTTATATCATGTTTTATCAGCCTGAAATTTCCTTCAATTTAAAAAGAAAACATCTTCACAATAGGAGAGCGCTGACACGGGACGGGTGCAATCTAGAAATTTTTGAAGGAGAGAAAGGAGTATGACAATCAAGGAGGCCATAAGCGCGCCCTACAATTGTAGGGTCGACTGACGATACGGGCCTTAATATTGGCTCTTTGTTTGATGATCATTTTTCTACCGATGCTAAAAAGGTACTGTTACTTTGAACGCGATAACTCCGCGAGAAGTGGTTCGACTGTCATGAAATTTTGACAGGACATTAATGAAAAATGTACGTATCCAACGCTATTCTCCGATCATAGATGGCGCTACTTGTATAGGATATCTTTAAAAAGTCCTGTTTTACTTTGCGACAGACCTTGTACAGTGTGAATTTAACGTTATAGTTTAATTCTACATAAAACTTGTACATAAACAATATTTAAAAACAAATTCGTTTTAAAAATATGCTCAACTAGTGGGAAATTTGGTAAAGATTGATAACATCTCTTAAAATATCGGCTACTATGTGCTTCCATACTGGTTGGTGCTTTTCAAAATGCGGGTTCGTTAAGTATTCGGAAGATTCAGGGCGTTGTGACTACGATTTCCTAACGAATATTGTCTTTCAAATAGACAATATTTCTTCACTTCTTCATATACGAAGATCCTATTAAATATACTTAAACAAAAACCAAGGTGAAGTTAAATCCTGTGAAAGTGGTGGGTAATTTGAATTGGTTCTACACAAAATAATATGGTCTGTAAAAACCCATTTGACAGATCAAGTGACTACATCAGTAAAGTGTGCTGTAACTTTAATTTTGGTCCATCCACCCTGTATTTTGAGATAGCCCTCGTAAAAGAAAACTCAGTTAAATCCAAAATGCACAGAATGTTACAAAATTCTGCGTCAGGAACAATGCATTGTGTTTTATAAACAAAAGAAATAGAATTGGCACCAGCTTGTTAGAACGTTTTAAGTGGTCCCAATTAAAAAACCTACACTTGAAACGTGTAAAACGGCCTCAAACTGTTTGTATCACTATCCACGAAAACGTGAACACGCACTTAGTCATCAAATTATATTGGCAGTATTTCCGAAATTCGAGTATGACCTTTTCTGTTTGGCTCATGTCCCATTGTCAAGTAATTGCAAACAACATCACTGCACTACTCTCAAAATTTATGTTCTGCATTCTCTCGTCTTCATTTCAACCTGAATCGACATCAAATGTTGCTTCGAATATAAACAACAGATATTTTGAAATTGAAATCCAGACTACAAAGTTTGCAATCAAATTAATTGAATATCCCCAATGGTGACATCCTTTACTGTTTTCAAATTAAATGCTTTTTTAATAAAGACGGCTCTATATAGAAATAGAATAAAACTAGCTATACTTCTCACCATTTTTGGCGATTACGTTTTCAATGTCACATGAAATAAGTAAACGATCGACTAACTGTGTTATATGTGTAGTTTATAGGTCCACAACATTAATATGTTACGACAAACTTTTTGAGGCGATGAAACAAAAATAAAAATTGCGTCGAGTAGGTTGACTCTGCACTTCCACGCAACGCCGTCCTCAGTTCATAAAGTATCATATTCAGCACAAGTTAGTCAAACAGGTCCATACAATTGGTCCATTAGTATTCTTGTTCCGCCATACCGGTAGTGTACCATCCATCTGGCAACGTCTTCCCACTCCCACACTTGACCGCACGACGCGTCAGACTCCGCAGTACCGCACCAACGCAGTAATGACAGGGCACTTACCGAGACCGGAACGCCCGCCCGTGAACCCAGAGAGCAGAAGCAAAGACGGGTATTGAGAAAATTTCTCATCATTTTAAGTCTTAAGGGCAAATATAAGGGAAAATCTATGATGTGTGAAATATATCTAATAGGTGTGTAGAATCACGATATACCATCCTCCACAATCTACAACACCCCACCCCTAATCTTTATCACCAAAAAGTTTTTTTCTGTAAATGATCGGGAGCCTTTCAAATTTCAAAAAATGAATTTTGAGTGATTTCTATATCTTTTTTTGCCCCTTAGCTCCGCCACAATTGGCCCGATTTACAAAAACTACAAAGCTTTTTTAATCTTAGCAGTACATACCAAGTCATACACGGGCCATGGATTATCGGACAGACAGACATACCGACGGTTTTTCGTGATGTATTTATATGTCATGCCCAAGAAAAACTACGTATATATCATTTTCAAAATTTTTTCGTGTTTACAATAGATTCTTTCAGGCAGTAAAAACGTTATGTCTCTGAGCTTGCACAAACAATCCTCCACACTCAAAGGTAGATGTGTATGCATGAGAAAGATGCGATATATAAAAGTGATACTGACAGTTTTACTGTGACTTGCCAAAACCCGTAAAAAGGACCGTACGAGTCGTGTGTATTTTCAATAACTACCGTATAGCTTAGGCTATCTTTGAGGGATGTTTTATGCTATATTGACTTTGAGGGAATATGTAGATTTCTGCTAACTTGCACATATCATCTACTTCAGGCGGAAATGCATTCACAAGAGAAAATGGCGTTATGACTTCATCTTCCCAAATATCAAAGATAACTGATTTCGTTTAATCCAAGGTGGCCAACATGGTAATTGACGGAGTGTGGTTCCAAAAGAATATATTGATCCGACTTTATTAGTCACAGAGGAGAGAGTTTAATATTAAGTTTTGGATGGAAACATAAGCAGTTAAATCAATCACAATTTTAGCTGCAATAAAAGTGGTGTTCCAATGACTGGAAGAGTTCCTAGAATCATCATCATCATGGATTTGCTTCCTATTTCATCACCTTTCACACATAGATAAATCGAAAAATGTACTGATATAGTTAAATGTTTATTGATGAATCGGTGTTATAGCGGAACATATTTAACACATATCCTATTCACAGAATTATCTATGATTTATATTTTACTGTCTGGCGGCAGCGAATTTTATTCGTTCATACAATTATTGCATGTAAAATCGAATCAAACATTTTACGATTGATGGTAGTACGCTAACATCTGCTGTTGATTTTTACTTATACAGGGTGTGCAAGATACGGATACTATGCATGGGGATCTCAATACCCGTGGGAGATGCAGCTTAGGTTGAATTCTGATTGAGCTGCATTCTTTGGGGCGTATTTACATGCCGTTGAGGAACTTGTAAAAATTTTATGGCTTACTGAGGTGTTTGGAAAAAACTAAGATTAGGCCAATTCATTTTTAGTTTTTTTTTACTTTATTTTAAGAAGTATAAAAAAAATAAAACAACTTTTTGGCACTACATGATGGTGTTTTTAAATTTAGTGCCCGACGTTTCGTTTTTGAGAAACTAAATTTTGTATGGTATGGTATCTACAAAGTTTTGCAATATGACTTAACAAACGGACGTAGGAGGCTGCATGTTAGAGCATATTGAGACATGTCCATGAGTGCATAGTAGCCGCCAGCAGCACGTCTGTTGATTTATTTGTTTATTCGTATTGACAGTGTAAAGTGCGGACTATGGGATCGTGGTCACGTAGTGAGATCAGGGCAGTTTTACGGTTTAACTTTACGCGTGGTTTAAGCGTAGACCAGTGCATAGAAGAAATGACGCTTGCATTAAAGAATAATAAATTGTCCTCATCGTAAGACTATATTCAAAGAATTTCAAAGTGGCAATTTCACTCTGGAGGACGCTGAGAGGGAAGGAAGATCCCCCATAGTCTGGCGGAAAAGCAGAAGACTTGTCGTACGACTTGGTGCCGAAATATGCTGAAAATATTTCTGGCTATGAGAACAGCATCGTAACAGGTGAGGAGACTTGGCTGTATTATTACGATGTGCTGACCAAAGCTCAAAACAAAGATTAGGTCTTTGATGATGAGGACACACCTGTAGCTGTCAGAAAATCCCGATCTGTTGAGAAAAAAATGATAGCTGTATTTATCAAATCGAGCGGGGTTGTGGAGCGTGTCCTGTTGGGCAAACTGAAGTAGTAGTAGTATTTCCACCACGACAATGCTCCAGCTCACCGTGCCAAAGCCTTCACCGAGTATTTGGCCACTACTGGACTGAAACTTATTGAGCACCTTCCTTACAGTTCAGATCTTGCTCCCTGTGACTTTGTACTATTTCCGCATGTGAAAATGAAGCTAAAAGAAAAACGGTTTTCTAGCGATGAGTGTGCCGCACTCCCGGGTGAAAGTTGGCAGAAATGGTTTAAGAACTGGTTTTGTCGGTTGGAGAAGTGTATTGAATGTAGAGGAAATTACTTTGAACGAAGCCAATAAATAAAGCTGTATTGCAAAACTTTTATAGTACCCTTTGTAATAGCATTTTTTTATACGAATTCAACGATGCATCACATATGTTACATTTATTTTCTTGGTTATAAAAAAAATGCGTTTTTTCCGATTTTTTAAGTTTTATTAGATTTTTGGCATCTCTATTTTTCCTGAAAATAAAGTAAGAAAAAAATGGAAATGATTTGGCCAAATTTTAGGTTTTCCCAAATATCTCAGTAAGCCATGAAATTTTTACCAGTTACTCAACGGCATGTAAATAGATATGCCCCAAAGAACGCAGCTGTTTCTCAATTTAACCGAAGCTGTCTCCTGTAGCTCCCACAGGTATCGAGATCCCCATGCTTAGGATCCTTATCTTGGACACCCTGTATTTTTGACGAACGTCTGGTCAGAATCAATGCATCCGCAGTGATTTGTGAATTGGCATTCATCAAACGTGTTAAAATACATACTAAAGAATATTAAATTATGAAATGCGATTTTTCTTAATTGGTATTAAAACACATCATATAATGGACTACATTGTAGATAATTAGGGGCATAACATCTGAAAGCTGTTGCACAATGTTAAAAAAGTCGTCAAAATAATACTATAGTCATATTAATCAACGATTGTATCCCCCTATAGCCCCACGGTACCCAATGGGTGCCTTGGGCCTTCGTGGTAGTTGGAGTATAAAAAAAAACGACTAAAATGATAAATGTAACGTCAAAAAAAAAAAATTTCTAAAATAAAGCAAGTCGCAAGACTGGCTCATCATACACTGATATTTTCAAATTTAAAAAAGTACGTCGAGCGATAAGAGGTATGAGCCCATTTAATTTTATAGTCCTTCATAAAGTTTCATTGAAATTAAAAGCATTATGGGGCAGACAGTACATTCAGACCAACGAAAACGAGATAGATTTTTAATTTTTAATAAGAGAACGTGGAGATTGGTGCGTCTTCAAACTATTGAAACGTTAGAGCGCCCTACGAGCTAAAGTCCTGTTTGATCTATACCAATAGCAATTATTCTTGGTACTGCTACAGTTGAACGTTCGAAGTTGTCAGTTTTGATGTTATGAGTCATAAAAATTCCATGCCTTCAAATGTTTATAAACCTACCTAGAAAAATAATACTCTAACTGCTGCGACAGCATCTGCTTGAGCTGTGACAGAGGGTAACCCGATGGTGTCGTGGAGTTTGCAGACGTTGTCGTCTGGTGGTGTTGTTGCTGGTAATGGGGCGGTAATGAGATTGCCGCCACCTGCGCACCCGTGCCAGTACCACCCGCCACCTGAAACAAGATTGCTTGTTAGACAAAATAGAAGGGTAAATGCCACCATAAAAAAAATTGCGTCAACACCAGTGATGGGCATTTACGCATATACATTAATTGTCTACGTCTCGATGTATACAATGCGTATACAATGAATACAATGTATACATTGCTTATACAATGAATACAACATATATAATGATGAAGACAATGTATAGAACAGCATAAGTGAGGTTAGATTTATTCGCAAACGTCAGAAAGTTGGTAAACAGTGAACCGACAACTTTAAAAAATATGGTTGGACGCTCCAAGAACAAAGAAATCGATGAACTAGGGTTCATTTTTGTTCTTAATTTATTTGAAACTGTACCTTTGTATACGTATATAAATAAATATTATATATTTTTAACTACTTATAAACTGCTTCCACAGTCAATCCAATAATGCAATGTTGCAGAATTTGTATCTATCATGAACTTTCAGTTCCACCTAAAATCGGAGAACCATTAGGATCGATCTGGAATTGATCCCAATCAGATTCGACAGAAATGTGTATTTGAGCGTAGGAAACAAGGCGTTGCAGCAAGTTATAGTTGTGTGCTGTGGCCTTCATCACTGTTGTGCCAGGCAACGTGGTGTGTGGCGCACTCTTTCTACACAAGTGGTGCCCGCTTGTCCCCCCCTCTCTCTCTCTCTCTTCCTCGTACACATGGAAATACAACAATACAATGCAATCTAAAAGGTTAAGGGACTTTCGCCAGCACTATATGTAAGTAGTTGAACTATGATTTGCTAGTGTATACATTATATACATTTTATACGTGAATATCGAGACGTATACAATACAATGGTGTATTATACATGGTATACAATGCGCCCATCACTGGTCAACACACTAAAAAAAAAATAATTAACAATGACATATCAGCACCATTGACCATCTGAAAATTTTATAACTCTTTGTGGCCATTTTATATTATAAATATATTGAATTAGTGCGAGTGAATATAAAATGATCATTTAAATGTCATACATTATATACTAAGTGACATATAAATCCGAACACCCAGTTTAAATGGTTTTATTTTAATAAAATTTTGTATAAGTACATAATGAAGCATAATAAGTAAATGATAAAAATTTCAAAATGATTGCACTGCTTTAAAGCCCTTTGACCTTTAATAATGTGTGGATGCACCCTGATGTGCTGCGCATTCTCCAACGCGCCTAGGCATGCTTCTGATCAGGTGGTCAATGTCCTCCTGTGGTATCTCATTTCAGGCAACCACCAAATCCTCTCGAAGTGCTTCTAGAGTCTGAGGAGGACATTGCAAATTGAGCAATCTCCTACCCATCATATCCCACACGTGCTCAATTGGGGATAAATCGGGAGATCTTGGTGGCCATGGTAACAATGTGACATCATTATGTTGAAAGAAGTCTATTGTGACTCTTGCAACATGTGGTCGGGCATTATCTTGTTGGAAAGTTGGATCTGCCAGGGTGTCAAGATAGGGTAAAAGATGGAATTCTAGAACTTCGTAGATATAACGCTGCGCGTTCATGTTACCTCTGATGAAGATTAAAAGTGACCTGGAACCATAAGCTATAGCACCCCAAACCATAACTCCAACAGTGTGATGAACATGTCTTTCAACAAAAAACTGTGGATTCCTCCTTTCACCACGTCGCCTTCTAACCCTGGCACGACCATCGTGCACGCCTAAACAAAATCGAGACTCGTCACTAAAGCCAATACTGTTCCATTCCTGATCCCAGAGTGACCGTTGTCTGCACCACTCAAGGCGATTACGTCGGTGTTCTCGACTTAAAGGGAGGACCCAGTGTGGCCGGTATGGAAACAAGCCAAAACTTCTCATTCGTCGGTAAACACTTCGCATGCCAATAGGTCTTCCGTGTTCTGCAAACCATTCATTTGCAATGGACCTGGTAGTGGAGAAACGGTCCCTTAAGGCCAATAATCTTAGGCGGCGATCTTCACGGTCTGTTGTTCTACGGCGGCGTCCAGTGCCCCTTGCTCTTTGCGTACGGCCTTCTCGAAGCCATGCCTGACAACACCTAACCACAGTGTTTACACTTGTTTGCACTCTAACTGCAATTGCCCGAAAAGAAAGTCCAGCTTCCCGAAGTCCCACTATACGGCCCCTATCAAACTCACTAAGTTGACGAAATCGTACAGGTCTCCGTACTCTAGGCATCGTAACCGATCGTAAAGGATGTCAAGAACCAAAATCCGCCAACGTTGATTCTTTACTGCGGCTGAAATATTCATTTTTAGAGCGTTAGTGAATTAAAAAAAAGCAGTATAAAAACCGGAATGTCCAACTGATAAGGCTGAACATTTTTTCACTTGTTATTTACAGTACGATAAATACATTCACCAACTTTTATTAAAATAAAACCATTTAAACTGGGTGTTCGGATTTATATGTCACTTAGTATATTACCGCCATTATCTCACAGTAATCATATGTAGTATAAATGGCAATACTGTCTTGATGATGTTTGCCGAGTGCCTATTGAAAAGATTAGACCTATAATTTGACCCCGTATTCCCCAAATTTCTAAATCACACAAATCAGAAACCATTCAAACCAGTAACACCATTGATTAACCTATCCATACCAGGTAATGCTAAGCAGGTCCTGGCTTTTACACACCCTATCATGTCTCAGTCTAATACTCGTTGTAACATATTATATACAGTAATGGACAAAAGTATATAGACAAATTAATATTGTGCTGTTGTATTTCTTTTTTAACTTGTTTTATGAATACACCAAAATGTATAAATACTTGATTATAGCATAATACTCACTTATACTTATAAATTCATTAGACTCCCTTTCAATAAAACATTAAATGAAAAAACTGGAACTATGAAGGACAAAAATATATAGACAAAGCAAAACAATTATAGAAAAAAGAAGCAAAGTCCATTGAACTCTAGAAAACAAACCATGTTTGTGTTAATATTTTGTAGCATAACCATTATTATCAATCACCACCTGCCATCGTCTTGGCATAGATTGTAGAAGTTTCTTGATATAAGATTCATCAATCTGTCTCCACTTTTGCTCTAACGCGGCAAAAAGTTCATCCTGGTTTGAATAATTTTTATCTCGTATTTGCTTATCTAAGCATTCCCATAGATTTTCAATGGGATTTATATCGGGAGACTGTGAAGGCCATTTGAGAACTGGTATTTTTTCATTCAGAAAGAATTTCTTTGCGAGATTCGAAGTGTGCTTCGGGTCATTATCTTGCTGGAAGATTGATCTTAAGGGCATATTGTCTTTCATATAGTGTAACATGGCATGCTTTAGTATGTCTGTGTATACAAACTTATCCATAATGCCATCTAATCTATGTAAAGGTCCCATCCCAAACTCCGAAAAGCACCCCCAAACCATAACAGACCCGCCTCCATGTTTGACAGCGGGCAAAGTGTACTTGGAGTTCAATCTTTGTCCACTAGGACGTCTGACGTAATGAACACCATCTGATCCAAACATATTGAACTTGGATTTGTCACTGACCCTCTTCCAGCTACAGATGCTCCAATCAAGGTACAACTGTGCAAATTGTAATTGGTCCCTATGGTTTTTCCTTGAGATTAGCGGCTTCTTACTCGGGCGACGTGCAAATAACTTCAAATCATTTAATCTTCTACTTATAGTTTTCGTAGAAACACTGACAATTTCTTTTGTCTCGATTTCGGCTTTTATTTGTCTTGGGGTTTTAAACGGATCTTTGGACGAAATTACTTGTATAAATCTAACTGATCTAGCAGTTAGCTTTCTAGGCCGACCACTTCTCTTAGAGGCTTTCAAGATACCTTTTTGTTTATATTTGTTCAATATTGCCCAAACTGCTTTACGCTTCAGCTTCAAATGTTTGGCAATCTCGACTTGACGTTGACCATCTTTGTATAACTCAATGATCTTAGTTTTCACATCGAAAGAAATTTCTGGACCATGCGGTATGGTCTTAAAATCACTCAACTTATTCCACAATACTTGATGAACACAAACTAATCCTCTTCTGACACGAAACTGTACTAAACTAATAGTGAAAAGAATTTGTCTACATATTTTTGTCCCTCATAAAAAAGTCCAAGAACTCATGATTTTTTGTAACTTGCACATAATTTTGAATCAACTAACCAAAAACATGACAAAAAAATTGAGGCATTTTAAGTCAGTCTTATCGCTAATTACTGGCGCTACACATTCATTGCATATTACTATAATGCTTGCTGGATGTCTTAACCCGGCTACTGATAGTGTACGACGCGATATATTAATGCTGTTTACGGATACTTGCGTCACTTTGAAGGTTCGTCCAAATGAAAGCACCTCAATGAATCGACAGATCTCGTTGCCCTCATTATACAATTCATTTCGACGGAACATTAACATTTTGCAACAAAAAATATGTTCTGGATGTTTTCACATTTTTTTTATGAATGTAAAGTGGTACTTTTTGCGCTCCAAAGTCGGAATTCATAATTTCGCGTGACAGCTGGGACCGCTACACAGCCTGCTATCATAGGAAATTGCATATAGAACCATAGTAGGCCGCGAACGTCAGTACTGAATCTTAACCTCAATCTTTAGTAAAGTTAAATTCAAAGTTTCACAACAATGCGTGCACTACTACAGTGCATTTTTAAGTGTCACCAAGTCATTAGAAAAATGGAACTCAACCGAGAACATTTTCGCGCCATAATTTATTACAACTTTCAGAGACAATTATCGCAACAAGAATGCATTGCTGATTACTGTCTGTTTTAGGCAGAGAAGCGCCACATCAGTCGACAATTACCCGTTGGCAAACGTGGACGGGTGAGTCTTAGCGACGACCTCAGGGTGGGTGCACCAAAAACGGCAGCCACCCATGAAAACGTCGATGCTGTGCGCAAACTCATCATTGAAGACAGACATGTGGCATATCGCGAGATTGAGACGTCCTTGAAGATCTCAAATACCTCAATT